TTGGTTCTTTGTGGTATGTTGCACTTCCGAGTTAAATGAACAGAAATGTGTGTGATTTTTTGAGAATAAACAATCCAGAGGAACGCATTGTGTTTCCTGCCCACAATTTGCCTTCAAGAAGTCAAAAGCTCTGCATGTTTCAATGTGTCTCTCCTCTCCTCTCCTCTCAGCTGTGTTTGCCATTCACAGAGCTTTGCCCCCTCGTGGTCATTTTGATATTATCATGGGTCCTGCCCAGGGGGCTGTGGAAAGGACCTTGCTATTCGGATGGCAGGTTGAGGACTGTGTTACAAATGCATGCTGAAAACTGAAAACTAACACAGCAGGCCAAGGGAAGGGCTAGGCTTGAACTCCTGGATTTCTCCTGCTAGACGACTGTGGCCTTATTTTACATGGGGGGAGGGTGTTACAATGTCATAAACATGTCAGTTGACTAGCAGGTGGGTTGTCCCCCCACCTGTCAATGTTGGCCCACAAGGTGGGAACAGATAAGGATCTGGCCCACTGAGCCAAAACAGAACCCCACCCCTGTGGTAAATCAAGTTTCTCTTGATTTGATTACCACTAGCTTTCTCTAGCCAGTTTGCATGCTCCTCGTGCCATTGAGATGAGAATGCTCTGGAACATGGGCAAGAACCACCTTGTACTCAAATATGATGTAGTTAAAGATTATAGGTCATCAAAGCATGTAGCTGAACCTGTTTGCAGAGGTCATCAACTTTGAAAACAGAATGAAAGGCAGGGACAGTGGTGAAGGGATAGGACTGGACAAGACTGACCTTTCCGCTGTCAGAAACCACAGCAAAAGAATCTCAGGCTGCAGGCACATCATACATTTCAAGCACATTTAAAACAGATGGCTTCCGACTCGGAATCCCAGGCTCCCCAAACAATTTCCAGGTTGGAGGAGGCTGTGAAGCCGAGAGGGGTATAAATAACTAGGTCATACTAGGACACATGGCATTCTTAGGTGCCTAGTAGAGGTGGACAAGTTACTGCTGTGGCAAAACAGGGACAAGTTCTAACCCTCTGCAACAAAGAGTAGTGCTTCTATGAGATCGATGCTTTGTTCTTGGGAGGAGCTGCTACTATTTGGAAGACCCCATTAGCACTATTCTTGAGTCAAGGGCTTAGCCACACTTCCTCTTTCCCTGGGGAAAATGGCTCTTTAGCACTCAGTTGGTGCAAATGGCTTGTTGGGTTTTCTGTGGGTTGCAGTTTCTTCCGATTTAGAGCTGAACAGTGGGTTTCCCCTGAGAATAGTTGGTTTTCCAGGTCAGGGGTGGGGCGCAGAGGGTGCTCTTCAGCCTCCGCACTCATCCAGCCCTCACCGCTGACAGGCAGGCACTTGTGTGCTGGGCAAGGTGGGACATGGAGGGTGAAGAATCTCCTCTGTGCTCACCCAACCCTCACTGCCACAGCCCAGCAGGGCGCTACGGGGATCTCGGGTGGGGGGGGGCTGGTTTGCGCCTCCCATATTGTAGGCGGGGTCACGGCCCCCCTGGCTCCCCCACACTTCACCCCTGGGAGTGGGGCAAGGAGAAAACTGCTCAGCCCCATGCTTTCTAGGCACAGGACAAGCGGAAGTGAGGATAAGCCCAAATACAACAGAAAAAATACATACCTGCAGATCTATCCAATTCCCAAAGATTACATATGCTGTTTATGCATGGAAGAGTACATTTACAGTAGAAAGTTAACTTTTTTAAAAATGGAAAGGATAATAATTTTATTAGTTTATTAATTGCTTTTTACATAAGTCTCAAAGTGATTTACAATAAAAAATACCGTATTTTTTTGCACCATAACACTCACTTTTTTCCTCCTAGAAAGTAAGGGGAAATGTCTGTGCGTGTTATGGAGGAAATGCCTACGGGTGGCATGCCTACGGATTTTCCTCCTCTAAAAACTACGTGCGTGTTATGGTCGGGTGCGTGTTATAGAGCGAAAAATACGGTAACTAAAACAGGTTCAAAAGAAATACAGAGAAAATGAAGGATCAGTTTTAAAACAATGGAAAATGAACACCGAAGGCAGAGATGAGTACGTAGGTGGGTTTTCCATCCAGCTGGAAAAGGTTGTTGAAACAAAAATGTCTTCAGTTGTATCTCAAAATTATGATGCCCAAAAAACAGGGGCAGCCACAGCCCTCTTCTAAGTTGCTGTAGCGCAGGCTTCTTAGCATTAAAGGGAGAAGCTCTCCTGCTAAATGCCATGAGCTACCAGGGATGGAAGGGGGAAGGTGGTCTCTCAAGTTACCTTGATCACATAATGTGTATGTTATTTATTTTCTACAGTCTACCCCACATTAATAATGTTAACTCCGGGCACAGACAGATGACTTTGGAACCTCTCACACACTAACAAGTTTTTTTTAAATCTCTGAAACTGTATGTAATTGTTAAATATTACCATGGGTATGCTCCTGATATTCTTCTGAAAGAATGGACTCCGTTAGGAATATAAAAAGAAAACTATCTTGTTTCAGCCCAGTTCTCATAATTTTATTTTATTTTTTAATTTTTTAACATTCCTGTAAGTGCTTTTATAGGTAAGTATGCAGTTCCCAATACGTTAAGGACTGTGTTCTTGCATAAGTGCCCAGCACACCTTGCTCCCCTGTCTTGCTTGTGCAGCACCTGATTATCTTGTTTTCCTTGTTTTTCTGGCCCATTTCATGCTTACAAAAGAATGGGCTGCCCATCCACACCGCCTGCCCCCCGCCCGGCCAAAGCAGAAAACTTGCCGTTCGATCAACTGTCCTTTCAGTTGGCCACTTAGTTAAGTCTTGGGTGCTGGCTGTACAACATGAAGCTGAGTTTGCTCTTGTGTTTGCTTGGCAGTTTGGGATCTGGATGGGCTGTTCCAGTGGAAGACCTGGAAAAAATCAGTAAGTATTACCTTCTTGCTTGAGCAGGAATAGGTTGCCAAAGCGTTGAAGTGTAGAGCATAAAGCCCACTGTCGTCTCAGTACATAAATTTATATTGATGAAGTTCCATATGTTCTGGTGATGTTTTATGGCAAATAACTGTTCATATTAAATAACAGTTTATGTTCTACACTACACATATGATTTGCTTGCAAAATATTTAATCCATAATTTTTTTGTCATCATGACCTGATTCTGCTGATACTTTCAGACTTTCTCTTCCACTGTTATTGTTGTTTTCTTCCCTTGGGAGAGTCCTGTACCTTTAAAAGCTGTGTGACAAGTAAAAATTCAGATACTTAAGCTTTCCCCATTATTACAACTGGATGCCCCCAAAGAGCTGAATTTCTGCTTCTCACGCAGATGTTAAAAGCATAATAACTTTGCTTCAATGTTTTTTTCTTGGCAACCTTACAATAAATCAATCCTTGTCCTAAGGAAATTTACTTTTATGTACGGTTCCAAGCAGCACTTCAGAAAACAAAGAACCACAACTAATAATTCAGTGGAGTTGCATTGTATATGTCTGAGAAAGAACTGAAACCTTCAAGGCTATAACTGATAATCGCCGAGAAATGACAAATGACTAGAAAGCCTCATGACATGAGTAGAAAGCTAGAAAGGACATCTGTATGTTAAAGCAATAATGGAGAAATCATTTTGTTTGTGATATATTTTCAGAGATATAAATAGAGCAACGTAAGATACATTTCATATGAAGCTGTTAGGGAAGAAACCAAAGAAGCTTTATGTTCCCTGCCACTACATCAGAGAAGCTACAATCTTAACAACATCATATTTCAATTATCCTTGCAATGCTGTATGCAAAACATGTTTCGCTGCTGCTGTAATGCTCTCTTCAGAAAGGAAGCAGCGGGTGGGCGGGCCTGGATGGCTAAAGGGCAAACATGCTGATGGGCAGCTAATGAGTTTTTCAGGTTATTGTTTTTAGGTTGTTTGCTGAGATTAAAAAACACATTTGAATAGAGATGGATTATTATGATAAACTGATTGGGTGAAAAGCAGTTCTGCTTCCTTCTTCTCTGTGTCCAAAGTAGGGTTGCTGCCTTTTTGACTGGCCCTCCACCTGGGCAGACTAAAGTTTGATGTTTCCTTGCCTTATGCCAGCACCTCAGATCTGTCTCTCTGGCCCCTGGGACTCTCCCTGGCTTGTGTCCCTCCTCAGCCACCCCCTCTCTGAGAAGGCCTCATCCCTCAGTGACTCTGCTTCAAACTCTACTTCGGTGTTTCTGCCTGCCTGGAAGGTCTCCTCGGAGTATGGCAACATTCACATTCAGGGGTCACTTTTGCCCCTGGCCCTGCCTACCATTAGCATGTGGCCTCCAGAAGCCTCTCTGGAAGAGAATGTGGCCTCTGGCGGGAAACATTCCCTACTTCTGACCTATATACAGTGAAGAGCTCCAGTCCTTTGAAACTCCACCCTTAACTGAGCTGGTTCTACCAAAAAGCCCTCCATTTGAAATCTGGCTGATGGTTCATTCAGACACAGCTGTCACGATTCAGGTCTGCGCTCATGAAGTGATGGACCTGCATGCCTGAGCCAGCCCATTTCAGCATCTCACTGGGCCTGCAATTTGAAACAGCACAACACATTCAGCTATTGAATATTGTTGAGTGTGTGTGGAGAAAATTTGGCACATGGTATGGCATTCTGCAGCAGCTGCCATCAAGCATTTTGTACAACAGCTTCTGAATAGGAGCAGCCTATGTCAGTGCTGTGAACTTGGGACTTTCAGAAGCAGTACCACTGAAAGTTTCACAATAATTCTTGCCCCCTTCTGACTGGGAGGGGATGGAACTGGTTTAAAAGTAGGAGCCTGCTCTGAACATAGCAATAAATGTCTGTTTATGTCTTTGCCCTTAGTGATGGCTATCTGCAAGTTTGGGGCTGTGATTCAAGCAAAGGCACTTTGAAAAGTGCACATTATTCAATTGACAGGGTTTGTGAGAAATTAGCCATCCCATGGAACAAGATCATGATGTTACTTTTCGTTTTGTTTTTCAGCATTGGATTTTTTCCCTAACAACAGCATGCTTTTAACAACCTATATGAGCACCTACTTTCTTGTCAATATCCCAAAGTGTGTTACCACCGCAAAGTTTTCTCCAGCCACAGTGAGAATAGCTGTAGCTCAGCTTCCTGACTCGTCCACTTTGCCAGGTATGGGATTTGTGTGTGTGTGTGTGTGTGTGTGTGTGTGTGCATGTGTGCATGTAACATTTGATGCAGCCGTGCAGGAATGAGCGGGATCCTGCCTGAGAGATTTCGTTACTCTAATCCAGATATGGAGAACTTGTGGCCCTCTAGATCTTGTTGGGCTCCACTTCCTATCAGCTCCAGTAGGCAGGAATGATGGGCATTATAGTTCAACAACGTTTGGAAGGCCAAAGGGTAGCCCCCCTTGGTCTAATAATTGTTTCCCTTCTATTAAAAGTCTCACATGTTTCTCCAGAGGACAAACCTCAGCATTCTACTTTGAGCAGAAGTCAGCAGCTGAGGGGATGGTCTGTTGCGGCTGTCTTCCAGAAGTGATGAACCTGCGGCTGTGTGAATTTTAAAAACTTATTTCCACATAGCTCCCATGCAACCCACCTCAAGGGCATTTAAATGCCAAGTGCCTGAAACATAGGGAAAAACATTAACATTCATATCCCTTTATATCCCAAGTGCTCAGTATATGATTTTCAAAACCAGGTTTTAAAACTGCAGTCCAGCCTGAGAAAGTTTAAAATAACAAGAGTCACCAGCAGATGTGACCTGAGGGGGGGGGGCAGATATTTTCCTTATCCTTCGTACATCAGTCTTGTGGCATCTCACAGACAAGCAAAACTTGCTGATCAAGAACTGAAGATAAAAACTACAGCATTTCTGTTCCACGTTTTACTTCATTCCTTTTCCATTAATGTACGTCTCGGCTGGACTTTCCAGTCCCAATCCCTCTTGCTTTGAAATGACCAACAGAATACATGGACAATTTTTCAGGGACTCTTTCATAATGTAGAGAATTAGCGACTGAGTGCTGTAATCTTTTTCTCTTTTCCTTATCTGGACATGCAATAAGAGTGCTTGAGGAAAGAAAAATACAACATATTTTATGCTTCCTTATCTGTCCATCTCACAATATTAAAACTGTAAATGAGAACGTTTTTCTGTCATTTAGCCAGGCCGTAGACTTGAGCAATGGAAACTGGGGAAATGATGGGCTCTTTGCTACTGGAAAGGGCTCCCCAAGGATGTTATGCTATGCTGTGGCTTATTTATGTACAGTATTTTGACCCAAAGGCAGCCAAAGCGGTAACCAGCATAACAGTACAAAGTGGGAGGGTGGGGAGTACAATAAATACAACTGGGTTTGACGGTTGGCCTGTATTACAAAGAAAGGTGGTCATATATTCAGGAAAATGAATAGGTTCTGGGTCACGTTTTAGTCCCCCTAAGCTCTTGGGCCATGTTGTTCTGTTTGCTTGGATTTACAGATATAGAGGGACACAGAGAGGTGCACACAATCATTCCCCCTCCATTAAGCTGAAGAATTTAGCAGAATGATGAGTCTAGTCTTCTCTCTACTTTCTTGGCTTTATATAATCCTTGAAATGTCTTTACCTGACACTACTTTGGATGACAAGAATTTGGAGCTCATGATTGCTAGTGCCTGTCCCTCAAGTGTCCCATTTTAAGTGGGACATACCAGATCACAGAAGCCAATCCCAGCTTCTGTTTGGATCCCAGAAGCACTGGTGGAGGAAGAGGAGTGCGGGGGGAGCGCACCACCCCTGGCAGCTCCATCCCGGTGGGGTGCCATCGTGGCTGACCCCCCGCTAGGTGCCACGCCCCAGCAGGTGGTATGCCATGCCCCCAGGACACATGCCATGCCCCCGCCTGCTCTCCGCCCCCCGGTACTGGAGCGTGAAGCTCTGCCACTGCCCGGAAGGTCCTGTTTTTTCATCTGGTGCGAGTCCAGAGTGCTGGACCAAAAGATGCTCACTCTGGTGCAAGTCAGCAGGGCTGTGCCACCTCTGGTGTGATCCTGCTAACGAGTGCCAGAGTGCCGGAACAGAAGAAGGTGCGTCCCTCCTGATGTCCCAATTTTGGGAACAAAAATTTGGAGGGTATGGAAATAGCATGTAGTGTTCTTTCTCATTTCTACCAGTGCAGGCTTCCAAGAAGAAGGGATTTCATTTTTCAGTGATCCATTTTTGAAAAAGGAAAGGGAGAGGCCCCTCAAATAGAGAAATCCAGCGTGTCAAGAAGAAGGCTGGGCTAGCTTTTTATGCATGCATAGAAATTTATTCTTGTTTGCATATCAAAGATGCAATCCCTCACCTGCCATCTGAACAGGTGCCATCCCAGAAGAGCTGTAGCGTTTTCTGTTTCTACATGTTGAAATGACTCTTTGTGCTGTACTGATGAAATATGTTTGTGATTATCATATTATGGGCTGTTCTTCATCTTTTGAAGGTGTGACAGATACTGAACAGATTGAAAATCTCCGCAAGACACCTCAAGCCACTCTTTATTTTGCTGGGGAATTCAAGAGTGTCTCCTGTGAAGTAGCTAGGGACATTGTGGTACTGGATTTAGATAACAGCCAATATGAGCTCATGACAGTCGTAGGCTACCAGGTGGGATCAGAATTTTGCCGTCAAACTAAAGGTCCCTTCTGCAATCAAGCCCTCAAGCCATCCACATTTTATAGGTAACTATGAACACTGATTGAAATATATGCACCTCTGACTTTTTAAAAATAATGTATATTTTATTTACAGACCATGCACTAATTTTAGAGGCTAAACATTTGTACTTTTCAGATGGTTACTGGTGTATGCTGGGCTGCATCTAGGCAGGGGTGGAACTGAGGTTGTAGCATTCTTAAATGGAAAACAGGACACTGCAAACATCAAGCTTGTGTTTAAAATAGTTTACAATCTGCAGGAGAAAAACCTGTCACATGGAACCTTGCCTTTGGAATGCTCTCAGGATAGGCACACATGGAGAATTAGCATGATGATGGGGCAAAAGCTAGGCTCCCCTGGTTTTTTATATATGGAAGAAATCTTTTTATAGGGAGAAGAATTTTAATACAATCTGGAGTGGCATAGTCCACCACAGGTTTACCACTTAAATAAAATTAGGCTGCATTCTCCCAGGGCTTCCAGGAATGGTGTAAAAAGCTTTCTTGTTCCCTTAGAATGCTTGTGGGGTAGGAGAAACTCCCCATCCTTTGCTTACCTATTAACGATAGATCTTTTGGGTTTAACTAGTACCATACAAAGGATAAGTTTGACCTATTATGTATGAATGAGGTTGGCAATGCGTCAGTGTTGGTTTAGCAGACCAAAACTTGAATCCACTGCCTCTGGCAATAGACGACAGAGGAGTGGCATTGACCTGTTTCCTCCAGTACCCTTTTCGGGGCATTTTTTAAAAAAGAAAATTACTATATTCGTCTTCTTTCAGTATTAAATTTTTATTGGTTTTCTGATTATCCAAAATGTATGGAATCAATTACAAAACGTTTTGTTACATACCAACAAAACAGAACAAAATATAACATTTAAAATGGATCTTGAGAGAGTTTTATAAGAAAAGTAAGGTTTTCAGTATAAAATAGTAGAAGAGACAGGTTGAACCAGGTAAGCGATTTTGGTTGTTATCAATAACTTTATTATGTTTGCACACTTTTAATTATGGCCATTATTTGCACACCACCTGCATTTATTTTCCAATATAAAAGCAAAAGTACATAGTACCAGTATTCTAAAAAGGCAACATTCCTCCCAGGGCAAGACCAAATTTTAATAATAGAAGCTAAGACTATGGATTCAGGATGGTGGGTCGAGCATTCCTATTTAACATGTTAAAACATGGGGCAAAGACTACAGTGAGATTGTCTCCAGTTCTATTTTCATACTTGATATTTTAAAGTGCATATGAATTTTCCCTGGCCTTTTAATCTCTATTTTCTAGGGTGAACTTCTTTTTCTTGGATGGCAAGTCTACAATAAGAGCTCATACAGATTGGTCAACAGCAATACAGACCAAAAATGGTGAGTTTCAGAAATGAATAGATGTATCCTAGAATGTAATACGTTGCCCAGTTAAAAAACAGTTAAGGACAGATATGGTAGCAGAAAATATTCACCTACTTGGTATGTGAAAGATTTTGAATCTGGGTTTTCCACTGCTGCGTAACCTAAGTGGCCATTGATGTACGGATGCCACCCACTGTGTGAAAATAAGAATAGATACACTTGTGAGTTGTGAACAAGCGGAACCTTAAAGTCTAACCACTTTTATTATGACATTGGATTCCATACACTAGAGTCCACTTCACAGGTGCACATGTAGGCCAGACTAAAAATTGTTAGACTATGCCACAATACACTTTGCTTCCCCCACCCCCAAAAAACTAACACAGGAACAACTTTGCTGGGGTTTGTTTTTTCTGATATGGAGAAGTTGGTACTCTTCCTCCTGACCTCTAGTTCTCTGTGAGGAAGGAATGTTCTTTCTGCAGGAAGGAGTGTTCAGTCACGTGGGACCACTCTGACACTTTGTTGATTCAATAGGAATATGTTGTGTGTATACTCGTGTTATACAAGTCCTGCCTGAATACCTCAGGGCAATATTTTTAGTTGTTATACATAAGTATAAAGTACTTCCTTAGTAGGGATATAAAATGGACTTTGCCAATTTATAAATGGACTTTGACCCAATCTGTCTTGATTGCTTTAATTCATGGGTAGGCAAACTAAGGCCCGGGGGCCGGATTCGGCCCAATCGCCTTCTCAATCCGGCCCGTGGATGGTCCGGGAATCGGCTTGTTTTTACATGAGTAGAATGTGTCCTTTTATTTAAAATGCATCTCTGGGTTATTTTTGGGGCATAGGACTTCATTCATGTTTCCCCCCTCCAAAATATAGTCCAGCCCCCCACAAGATCTGAGGGACAGTGGACCAGCCCCCTGCTGAAAAAATTTGCTGACCCCTGTGTTTAATTCTTGAACCCGTTTTCCTTTTGCATTCCAGTGACAAACTATGAAACTGCTGATGTGATGTTTGAGCGAGCCGGAGGAATGATAGTAATCACCATTCTGGTCTCGGTTGGTGGGGCTGTCCTAGTGGTTGCCTTAATTGTAGCAGTAGCTCTTTCAAATAAGAAATAGAACGCCAGGCAACTCAGCGCTTCCTTTCTTCTGGAACAGCGGCAACAACAGATATGAATCAACTGCAGGATTTTTCCAGAGAATCAAAGAATGTACTTTAGTAACATGTTTTCAGTCAAAGAACAAGCATTCTGAAGAACGAGAGTATCTTAAAAATGTTTTGGGTTGTTGTTGTTTTTTTGGTAGAATTTAACCTACAATGACTGCAGAAATAATGCTGTTTATGTGGCCTCTTCCCACAGTATGTTTTTAAAGTCTATATATCTGAAAATGAGATTGTGGTTCCCTGTATGTTCATTGGTGACAAACCTTTGTTGTTGCCACATAATGTATGAAATGCTGCTTAGATGAGTCTGAATCATAATAACAATTTCAATGTCTTTAGCGTGGGGAATGGAAGTTCCAGAGAATTAAGAGGAGGGGAAACTCTTAAAGTGACACCTTTAACTGGACCAACTTCTACAAAGGTGCATATGCAAATTTTAATGCTTTATTCTTCATTCCTGCCTGCCTAAAAAAGAATACATCTGCAAAACCCAAAGGCTGGTGGACTTTGGTCCAATAAGGCAGCTTGCTATTTTCACATTTATACAAGTGCGCTTTTGGACAGACTTGGTCTACTTTCTGTGCTCTGTTACTATAAAATAAAAATGATCAAACGTTGTACAGTCCTAAATGCTCCAATGTCATGTAATACAAAATGACACGCACAAAAAGGCTTTTGTAATCATTGTGTTCAGATTGAAGAAATGATAAATTGTTAATCTTTGTGTCTTCTTTGTCTTTTAGTTTCTGATTGTATGCTACAATGCATGCTGGTTTATAGTAGTAGTAGAAATGAATGAATGAATGAATGAATGAATGAATACTGCAGGGTTTATATTGCAAAATCTATGCATATCCATTCAGAAGTAAGCCCTATGGATTTCAGTCAGGCTTATTCCAAGATTGCCATTTTAGTCATCCTACTGGCTAAGTGTAGTTTGGGCGATTAGTGTGACAGCCCCATTTAGACCCTTCTGATCCGCTCCCAGCTGTTTGAACCCCTCTTTTTCTAATCCCTTTAACATGTGAACAACTTATTGCGAAGTAGCAATACAGGAGGGTGTACCTTACTTCTTTATTGTTTACTCACATTGTATACAAAATGCTGCTGCGCTCCCAAAAGGAGGACCATGTTGAGCAAAATCGGGTGATGATATTTCCATTGTTCCTCTCAAGACATAAGGTATCCGCCTTAGTATTATCTCATCACCAAGTACAGCTCACTGCAGCCAGACAGGCAGCTAGAATAAGGAGGAGATTCTATAGCTAAGAGCCAAACTCAGTGTGACATTGGGGATCTGCTGCATTTTTAAACAAAGCCCCCCCAAAGCTGCTATTTCATAGAATCATTTATTTGTGCATGTGTGTTTTCCCCTATAGGACAAACAACCTGATGGTGCGATTTTAATTGGGAACATGGCACTAGGAAAGGATTAAACTTCTCCGCCAGAAGTACTGTCCCACTTCATTTGCCCCTCTCCCCTTGACTGCTATTGAGGGAGAATAGGGAGATCTGATCTCCTCCTGACACTACTTGTACTTTTTAAAAGTCTGGAACGGATTAATTCATTTTGCATTACTTTCTATGGGAAAGTGTGCCTTGGTTTTAGAACGCTTTGGAAGTTGAACGGACTAAGTTTGAGAATCAAGGTACCACTGTACTTGAAATATGGGAGATATAAATACAGTAATAGCAGCAGTGAACATTTTGTTTGGTTAAAGTTTATTTAAAAACTGTTTCCCTTTATGATTGTGGCGCCATTCCATTATAAGCAAAGGGGGAAACTGGCAGATAGCGCCACCTAGAGTAAGCCCAAAATATGGACAAATAATGTGGCAAAAATAAGTAGCGACTGGGAAATACATTTTGTTTTGTGCTATGGACTACAGATCATAGATGGAGGCGAGGAAAGCAGGGAAGGCAAGTACAGTTACAGCTGCCAATTCTACTGCTTTCTCCAAACACCCCAGGGCTCCTTTACAGGAGAGGTGACCTAACTGGGCTCCTGACCCCCACAGGGGTGTCACAGAAAGAATATAGTTGGCCAAGGGAGCCGTGGACTCAAAAAGGCTAACCTCTGCTATTGCCATTTACCAGAAAAATTAAGTTCTATTGCACTCAAGGGGACGTAATTCTGAAGAGATAGAAAATAATAATAATAATAATAATAATAATAATAATAATAATATTTATTTATACCCCGCCCTCCCCAGCCAAGGCTCAGGGCGGCTAACAAGCAATAATAAAAATAAGTTGAATGAATACAACTTAAAAACAAAATTAAAATACAACATTCAAATATTGAAACATTAAAATGTAGCCTCATCACAGGAGGAGAAAGGAAAAGAAAAAAGAAAGAGGGGGAGGGAATCAAACTGGCTCCAAGCCAAAGGCCAGGCGGAACAACTCTGTCTTACAGGCCCTGCGGAAAGAAATCAGAAAAGGATGTCTTCAACTGCTGGCCAATTATGCTGGGATGGGTGTCAGTACTTTTCAACTGTCTCAACTCAAGTGGGTCCTCCTGTAGAAAGTTGAGAACCCCTCAAGTAAAGTCACAGCAGAGCTCACTGTGTGAGGAAAAGTGTTTATATATTGAAGAGAGACTCCTGAAACACAAGACTTCCATTTCCCCCTTCACTTTCTTTCTCTTCCTACCGACTCACCTTCTCTTTGTTTTCTTCTTTCCCTTTCTTTGTTGTTTGGTTGTGTAGCGAGGCCCCAGGCCCCCCAGTTCCCTCTGAAATAAACACACAGACACAAATAGATTGGGTTAATTGGGATAAAGTAGGCTACAACTTTATTGGTTACAGATGTGAGCGGTTTGGCTTAGGCATTTGGGTGAAGCCAGACTATATCCTGACTCCTGACCGTCTGCAGGAAGTCTCTGAAGGGTCAACCACCGAGAGGGGGAGTCCTATGATATACATCAATTAAGAGCACCCCCAGGGTCACCGATGGGGCCGTGGCAGGGCCCTAGCCCAGGCTTCGGACAGGCTCCACACCCCTGGATCCCTTTAATGGGATACCCTTAACGTGGAGGGGCAGGCCAGAGGCAACAACCGCCCCCCCCATGACAAGGCTTACCCAATGCCTAGCCTTACAAAGCTGTGACGATTGCTACAAGGCAGGCGAAAACCGAATGGCTGGTGCCAATTTGCCAAGTGGAAAAATTCCTCCCTGGCCCCCACAACCAGGCGGCCGACATTAGTCATAGCAAGGCCACAGTCAAGCAACACATAAAAAAAGAGGGTGGGTGGGCTGGGAGACCCGACAAGAAGGCGAATAGAGGTTGCCCCCCCCCCAGCTGCACCGCAGTTTAAACAGCATTGGTCACACCCCCAGCTATCCCGATTGGTCGGCCAAGGGGTGTGACGTGGCTGGGAGCCCTAATGACGTGGGTGGCATCCCTCTGCCCCCTGCCAGGTCACAGGGAGGTCCCGGCTGCCCACCCACAACTCCACCACCCCGGGGAAGGGGAGTGGCTTTCTCAGTAGGTCTGGGCTTCAGCCTGGCATGAATGTAAGTAGAATATATAACAAAGTAAAGGCCCCTCCAGTTGTCCTTTTATTGAACATTCCTCATTACAAAACATGTTAACAGTGTGTTCAGGACAATGTTGTAGCTTTAAGAAATACGGTTTATTCACCTGTTTACACCTTCAGTCTTCATGGAGGGAGTCCAGATCCCAGTCTTTCTTCCCACTTCTTCTTCCCAGCAACACTTGCTGTGGAAACCAAGCCTTAGGAGGAATGGTAGAAGGAGCTGGTATGTTTAGCCAGGAAAAGAGGAGACCGAGAGGAGATATAACCATCTTCAAACATCTTAAGGGCTGTCACGTGGAAGGGGGAACATGCTTGTTTTATCCTGCTCTAGAGGGTAGGACTTGAACCAATGACTTCCAATGAAACATACGGAACCAAAGGAGATTCTGACTAAACATACAGAAAATCTTTCTGACAGTAAGAGCTGTTTGACAGTGGAACTGTCTCCCTTGGGAGGTTGTTAACTCTCCTTCCTTGGAGGTTTTTAAGCAGAGGTTGGATGGCCATCTGTCAAGGATGCTTTAACTGAGATTTCTGCATTGCAGGGGGTTGGACTAGATGACCCTTGGATCCCTTCCAACGCCACAATTCTATGATTCCAAGCCTCTCCTCCTGTCACTTCACACCCAGTGACCCTGGCAACCTTCCAAATCTCCAGTCTCTGTTCACCCCACAGGGCAAGGAAGGAGGAAGGTTCTCTCAATGGCCCTGTATCGTTTCTCAATGGCCCTAGCTTGGCCAGGTCGTTTTGCATAGGCTTTAATAAAGATTTAATTTACGAATTACAAATTTGCGAATTTTTTTTTTTACGTTTACAAATTTAATAACAATAACAACAATATTATTATTGGTAGTAGTAGTAGTAGTAGTAGTAGTAACCACCTCCCAAGGAAAAGCTGGCTCTCAAGGTGCCACTGTGCAATTACAAATTCCAGGGGATTAATTAGGACTATACCTGAGAGTTGGCCCCATTGAACTCAGAGGGACTTATTAGTTCTGGGTTACTTGAGCCCCACCCTCAAGTCATAAACTACTGTCCCATGTTTACAAGGTTTTGTACTCTCCGATATGAGAAGAGTCGTTCTCAAAGGGTGGCGTGCTGTGCTGGCTCTCCCTGACTCTCACGTGTCTCCTAGCCAGGAGTCTCAGGCCGCTGGATTTCTCAGAGGAGAGACTTCCTTTTTCTTTTTTTAAAAGATATTTATTAAGAGTTTACAAGTTACAGAAAAAGCAAGAGAACAATAAAGAATTAAACAAAACAAAACAATACCTTACATCAAAAAAAATTATAAAACAATACAATAAAACAACAACAAAAAAGAACAAAAACATTTAAAAACACATCCAACCTTTCCATATCTTTACCTTTCATATACTTGTTTCATCGACCTCCTCACACCTCCCTTTTTTGTATTCTAGTTCAATTAGCTATTTCAGCAAGTCCTTTCCATCTTTCTCAATTTTCGTTCTAGAATTTAACTTAAGACACTCTAACCTTAAATTTTCCACATTGGTCCATTAACAATCTATTTTTACTTAATTCTTTATAACTTTTCTGCTAAAGCCATATAGCTTCATTCCAGCATCCTTCTAACATTCATTAATTTTGCAATATTTCTGTAAATATACTTTAAATTTTTTTCCAATCTTCTTCCACCGACTCTTCTCCCTGGTCTCGGATTCTGCCAGTCATTTCCGCCAGTTCCATGTAGTCCATCAGCTTCATCTGCCATTCTTCCCTGGTGGGTAAATCTTGTGTCTTCCAGTGCTTTGCGATAAGTATTCTTGCTGCTGTTGTGGCATACATGAAAAAAATTCTATCCTTCTTTGGCACCAATTGGCCTACCATGCCCAGGAGAAAGGCCTCTGGTTTCTTCAGGAAGGTATATTTAAATACCTTTTTCATTTCATTATAGATCATCTCCCAGAATGCCTTAATCTTTGGGCATGTCCACCAAAGGTGAAAGAATGTACCTTCAGTTTCATTACATTTCCAACATTTATTATCGGGCAAATGGTAGATTTTTGCAAGCTTGACTGGTGTTATGTACCACCTGTAAATCATTTTCATTAAATTCTCTTTTAAGGCATTACATGCCGTAAACTTCATACCAGTGGTCCATAACTGTTCCCAGTCAGCCATCATAATATTATGTCCAACATCGTGTGCCCATTTAATCATAGCAGATTTCACCATTTCATCTTGAGTATTCCATTTCAGCAGCAAGTTATACATTCTTGACAAATTCTTAACTTTAGAGTCTAACAATTCTGTTTCCAATTTTGATTTTTCCACCTGGAAGCTTAATTTTTTATCCAAATTATATGCCTCCATTATTTGATAGTAATGGAGCCAATCTCGTACTCTGTTTTTTAATTTTTCAAAGCTCTGCAATTTTAATCTGTCTCCCTCTTGTTCCAAGATTTCCCAATACTTCGGCCATTTGGCCTCCATACTGAGTTTTTTCTGAGCCTTTGCTTCCATTGGTGACAACCATCTTGGGGTTTTATTTTCTAACAAGTCCTTATATCTCGGAGGAGAGACTTCCTTTGGGAAGGACTTGTGTTCTTATATAGCTTTCTGGATGTCCCATGATCATATAGATTGTTGTAAACAAAATCTGCCCTTATTCCCTTATGGGGGACACAAGAGCCCTTATAGAGTCTTTTGTAGGTTCTCCATCGGTAGGAGAAGACAACAGAGGCCAACCAGAGAATATTGAGAAGCAAAGCAGCTCCTAAGCCTGATCTTTATTGATCTGTTGCAACAGGGTGCTCCCCTCACACGCAGGAAAGGAGGAGGACCCAGAACCAAGGTGTGACCGCCCTTATATAGACATTTTAAATTGCCTTCCCTGGAGCTCAAGACCACCCCTCCATACATCATACATACATCACAGAAGGGGTGTAACCCAAGACCACCCCCTACAAACCTCATACCTACCATCACAGAAATTTGAATGTTGTTGTTTTTCCTGTCTGCCAGGTTATCTGATAATGCCTTATCTGGCTGCCTTTCCTGGTAGTCTGTCCATTCCTTTGAGATGGTGATTTCCCAATTCCTGAGACAATGGGAAAGTTCCCTCGCCCCCTCCCTCCTTGCAGAGAAAACATTTGGTCAGTTTGGGAGTCAAAATGGTTTCAGGGCAGTCTTCCTGTGCTGCTCCAGAAATGTGGTCCATATATCTATATCTATATCTATATCTATATCTATATCTATATCTATATCTATATCTATATCTATATCTATATCTTTATCTATCAGAGCTTAAATTTTTTATTACAATATTATAAGGTAGCTGTGTGTTCTATGTTATAAATCAAGCACTGCTCGGAGTTGCTTCTTTTTGTTTCTTACCAATAAAAAAATCGGCGTGGCGCGAGCAAGGTTTCCTTCCGAAAGGGAGGACCGCAGAGGAAAGTTTGAGGACCGCAGGGGCGAAGCGGCGCCGTTTCTGCAGCCTGGAGCCAAGGAAGGATCGCAGGAAGGAGGAGGAGGAGGAGCCGGAGGAGGAGCCCAGCCCCTTCGCTCCTTCTTCGGCGCCGGGAGCGGGGGCTCGGCGTCGCCTTGCGCCGGACGGGAGACCGAGGAAGCGGCGGCGGCGGCGGCAGGTCAGGGGCGGTGGGTCGGTCGGGGGCCGGGGAAGCAGTTGCGGGCGGGCGGGCGGGCGGGGGCCCCGGAGCGGTGGGGGCCTTTGGGTGGCGCCCTCCCTGGGCAAGCCGGGCGCGCGGAAGAGAGGAAATGGCGAGGATTTCTCCATCCCATAATGCGCACGCCTTGCCTTGGAAGGAGCCTCTTCCTCGGCGACCAGCCCGGCGCGGGGGCGGATTTCTGCGCCCTGGGAAGCATCTCTCGCTTCGAAGCCGGGCTCCTCCGCGCCTCCCCCCCCCCCCAGCCCCCCTCGGCCGCCAAGGCTCCTGTTCTCTCTCAGCCTAGGGAACAAGCCAAGTCCTTCTGTCTCGGTAACAGTTGTAACTGGACTGGTCTTCCCCGCCCCCCCCCCGACAAGAATGGCCAGGCAGGCGTTCAACAGGTGAAGCCTCTCCTCCAGCAACAGAACCTGCGGGGTTTCTGCTTGCTACGATGCGCTCAGCCATACGGAACAGGAAAGGACTCTGCTTATATAACTCTGAGTGAGATGGGAAGAAGGTTTTGGTGTGTACTTGAAATACGTAAGGAAGAGAACCTTGTGTCTGTTGTTTTTATGCGTATGGGGGGGGGATGCTGGGGGTTCTCTTTCTCCCTTTTTGCCCCGGCTCCACTCTATTATTCTTGCTGTAATTCTCTCTCCTTCAATTTGAACCCTGCTTTTCAGCCCCAAACTCTCACTGTTATTTGGCCCCTCTTCATTGAGCATTCCTTCTGATTTGCTTACACAAAGCTTACGTGGATTTTAGATTACATCCGGCCATTGCTGAGCTGTTAGGTGGCTTCTCATTAGCCATTTGTTCCTCCCACACTTGTCACTGCAGTCCCCTGCCACTTTCCAAACTGCAAAAAGTCCAGATTCCCTTTTTTAAAAAAAACAATAAAGTGGACTTGTTGTGCTAAAGAGACAGAATCCTTTAATCCACTTTCACTGCACCCACTGAGTTTAGCTACTGGCACTTTCCCCTTAGGTCTTCTCGGATAAGACAATGTCACCAGGAACGCCATCCGCCTGTTCTTCTTCTTCTTCTCTTTGGGTGGCCTCTTTGCCTTCGCTTCTCTAGGGAGCGCAGTGTGTCAGCTGTCTCCCTTTCTCTTTTGCACCTCATTGTGTCTTCATCCCTTGAGGCGAAGGAGGACACACATTTCAATCCAGCTGCTGCTTATTTGTTTCTGCTTCCTTAAGGTGCAATTCCAGATGTTTTTTACTTTGCCTTGACATCTTTGTCCTGGTAGCTGTGACATCAGAGCTGAGCCATGAGACACCGGAGAGCCTTGCTTGAGGTCAAATAACAGGCGGTCATTGGTCAAAATAGCACCTCTAATGTCTGCTATTTTTACTCGCCAAGCCAAACAGCCGTTTCTGTGCCAGATAGGGAACAGGATGAAGGAATGTCTGTGGGGGGGGGGGGAGGGTTGTGTGTGAATACAATGTTCAGTCTGGATTCTAGTATTGTTAGAAACCTGTTAACTAATTTAATTGAAATGAAAGTTTAATGTAGAGATTTTCTTTGGGGTTGTTTTGGATAGAATGAAACACTGGTTTGCACTTGTTAGGTATTGGAACAGTAAGAATCAATGAGGTAATAATGGGCATGTACTTAGGTCATTGTGATCAATTTATGAAGTGTGTGTTATGAGAAAAACATAAAATGAAGACCTCAACAACAGGACATCATGACTGGCACCTCAATCCTAAATGTATTTGCTCCTTTATTTTCAATAATGTTTATTCAGAAGTGATTACCATTCATTAGGGATTATAAATGTCAGTAAATTAACTTCTGTTCATTTAATTCCCTTCAAGTGTGTGTAGTTAGGACCAAAGTCTAAGCATTTATTGAGGAGTGAAGTTTTTCTTGAGAGATCAGTGAGGAATTGGTTTACTTTATTTCATAAAATTAATACACCTCTTGATTGTAAACTCCCCCCCCCATAAATCCCAAAGTGGTTTAGCCACAGGTAAATATATTCCATATTATGGTTGTCAACTTTTCCCCCTGGAAGGCCCTTGTGTCAATTTAACACCAGTGTAACAAAACACAAATTTAGCAAGTGAAGCTTTTCCTAGCGTACAGACCAGTGATGGGAAAAGTTTTGGAGGCTGGTTTTCATCTGGCATGGAGCTATTAAAGGCACAGGGGCACTGCTTAAGTACAAATAGTGACCCCACATGATACACAGTGAAGTGTGGATGTTAGGAGGGGCTATTAATTCCTCTGCACAAAAGAGTTACATGCCCTTTAGGTTAGTTTCCATTTTCCAGGTCAATATGTTTCTATATTGTAGTGCAGAGGTTCTCACACTTTCTACTCCCAGAGTTCACTTGAGATGGCCGGAAATTACTGAGGGGCACCAGACACCCCCCCACACCCACACCCACACCCTGTGCTGCCTAGGCACAGCCAGTCACAAAATGGTGTCAGAAGGAGACAGACATTGGCACAACCAGTTGGCAATTTCTGACTTCATTTTCTAGTAATCCATATATGGAAATTTCTGAATTCTTTGGCACAGCGCCTTCCTTGTGGCAAGGAGTTCTGTAATTCAGCTTTCCTTAAACTAAGAACAGGCATTTTTGTTCTGTGGCCACACACCCACACACCAATTTAGGCAGAATTTGATGATCTGGGTGCTCTAAGTGGATAAGGGTTCTTTTCTTTGTAATATTCCCCTATCCCCACACCTGAAGTTTTTTACCCACCCCCTGTAACTTCTGCTCACTTCACTCACCTTATCTCCACCCCATCCCACCAGCTTCTTTAATCCTTCCTTCCTGGTCCTTTTATCTTCACTTAATTCTCTTTAAATGATCTTTCCTCTCTTACTCCATTTTCTATTTGTTTCCTTGATTAAACATTAACCTTTTCTTTCACTTGCTAGTTCCCTTCCATAGCTCATCTGGCCCTTTCTCCTCAAAGGAAGAAGCCCGTCCTTCCTTCTTCCCCCCTTGTATTATTATCTCCTGGCCGCTTTTACTCCAACCAGAAGGCCAGGCATCCTTGGGGAGGAGAGGCAAGGGAGCAGGATGTGGCCCTGAGGATCACTGGTGGGTCCGGATCAGGCTCTCTCTGAGAGAAACAGGGGCTTCCAAACTGCATTTTGTGGGGCTGTGGGGTCAGGGCCAGCCCAGGACATTCTGGCACCTGAGGCAAACCCCCAAATGGTGCCCCCCTGAAGGGAGAGGGTGTAAAGACCAACATTAGGGACAAGGGGACTATAAAGTCTCCAGAGGGCAGCCCCTGCCATTTTTTCCTGGGGGTTGAGGAGACCAGCAGCATCTCCTATTCATCATCATCATCATTTTTTATTTGTATGCCGCCTTTCCACAGTTAGAAAAACAATGCTCAAGGCGGCTTACAGCATGACAAGATTTACATAATTACCAAAGTCATAAACAGTAAATAAACCACAACAAAAAAATACACAACCAAATGGGAAACAATTTCCACATAAAATCTAAAACTAAGAATACAGTATTAATACCACAGTTTAAAATGACATAGGTAAAAAATAACAGCAATTTAAGCAAGCAAACAAACAAACAATGGAGCCCCCCCTGCACAGCAACAGCGGCGGCAGCAGCAGTCCTTTATAGAGCCCATCAGGCCCCGCCCTGGGCCAGGGGCATAGCTGTCAACTTTCAGATTTGAAAATAAGGGATCAGCAGCCTCACCTGTCCTGGGGACAGTCTACGTACGGAATAACTAACAATCCGGGTTGGCAGCAGGAAGCAGCGGGAAACGGCGCTGGAATAAGGAAATTTCCCGCAAAAAAAGGGAAGGTTGACAGCTGTGGCCAGGTGGTGAGTGGCAGGGAGCATTGGTGGTGGCAAGGGGGCCCTGCTCTGAGGAGACTGTAGATTCAGCCTCCAAGGAGCGGGCCACAGCCATTGCTGCCACTGCGGCAACAGCAGGTGATGCAGTCCTTGGAAGCCGGATCCGCTGCCCTGAGGGATCCTGCCACCGAAGGCAGTCGCCTCACCTTGCTTCATGGGTGACCTTGCATGGGGTCCCTCTCAGAAGCTTCCCAGGGACCTGCTAGTAAGAAGTTCAGCAGGGGCAGGCAAATGTCTCTGAAAGTGAACATGGCTTGTTTCTCCCTCCCCTTTTGCTGATCTGTTCCTTGCAATGTGCAGCCTGCAGGAGAGCGTGGGGAATGCTCCTGGGGTGCACATTCAGTATGCCTGGTGCGCTGACAGACCCCGGTAAGTCTAGGAAGAACCCTGTGAACCAAGGGGGTGCCCCGATGTTCCAAAAGCAACGACAGCAGAAAGGGATTCTCTGGAAGAGAAACTAGGTTGCCATGGCTCCTCAAGAGTAGGCTGTGGCAGTTTGAGGATACTGAACAATGAAGGGTTGCAAGTGGAACCTAGTTTTCTTGCTGCTGCGGTCTCTGTAAAATATGCCAGGGTTCCTTTCATGTCCACCCCATCATTCCGGCTGAGTGTTGTGATACCTACTGGAGAGAGAGCTGTGACCTAACAGAGGCTGGCTTGGTTCCTGCAAGTATAGCGGGCGGGAAGTTGACCCGATTAATTGGAGCCAACATTTTTATTGGTCCAAAATGTGTTAATATATTGATAAAGTTGATTAATGTGTCAGCTGTAATTAGTCTATTGAATCCTTGCATTGTTATTTCACAGGAGCTGGGGAAATGGATTCAACTGAAAGAGCTACAAATAGAAGTGAACAAAAATCAAGGTGAAAACAACTCTTTAAACCCTTTTTTTTAAAAAAAAAAACTTTTTAGGTACATGAGGATTATTGCTGATACTTTTAATGTTTGGAACAGCCTCTCCATTTTATATCCACAACAATTCTGTGTGGAGAACTCTCTTTTACGTTTTATAAATGCCAAAAGTAGGGATGGAAACATCTCTCAGAGTCGGTTCCCTCAGTTTCTCATTTTACCAATCTTAAATTCTGTTGTCCATATTTCTGTAGCAGTTTGCATTTTTTTAAATGCTCATGAAAATTGGTCAGATTTTTTGTGCACATTTCTTCTGATAAACACATTTTTGTGTGCACTTTTGACTAATGTATACATTTTGCAAGCATTTCCCCCAAATGTGATGCATATTTCCATGTTATTTTTAGGGCTGGGAAATATATTGATATATCATCCAAAACCAGTTTGAAGTCCAGATCATGATAGCAGTTTCATAATTTTTGACCTGGCAATATATCACAAATCATGGTGTGTGTGCTTTGAAGGTTGGCTTTGTTTGATCATCGTACTGTTTCAGAGAATGTGGATTTGATAAACGGGGCTTTAAATGTGAACCAAATCTAAATCCTCCCCATAAAAAGTATTTTCCTAGAAATATGAAAGCATGCATACTACTACCAATATCTTATTCTTATTTGTTATTATTGTTTATTATACTTCTGTTGTGCCTCTTCTCCTGTGAGCTTGAGGCAGTGCGCACTCTGGGAGATTGTGCTGATTGGAGAGGATGAGGAACTGCGATTTCTTCCACACTAAAGCTGCTTCCACCCTTTCAGTCCTGTTCAGCTAAGTTCCCTTCCACAGTTAATTAAAAGGTTCCTGATTTTAGAGGAACCCAGTTGATGCCTGGCATCTGTGATCATAGAATCATAGAGTTGGAAGGGACCCTAAGGGTCATCCAGTCCAACCCCTGCAATGCAGGAATCTTTGCTAAGGCATCCATGACAAATGGCCACCCCAGCTCTGCTTAAAAGCCTCCAAGGACGGAGAGTCCACAACCTCCCAAGGGAGACTCTTCCACTGTTGAACAGCTCCTACTACCAGAAAGTTTTTCCATGTCTTTAGTTGGAATCTCCTTTCTTGTAACGTAATGGTTAGAGAGTTGGACTGGGACCTGGGAGACCAGGGTTCGAATCCCCACTCAGCCACGAAGCTCACTGGGTGACCTTGGGCCAGTCACTATCTCTTAGCCTAGCCTACCTCACAAGGTTGTTGTGAGGATTGTATGGGGGGGGGAGGGAGAACCATGGACACCATATTGAGAACTTCTGCTGATTAATTAATGTGTTATGCCATTGATTAACAAAATATGGCCAAGTCAGCTGCGGCCATAAATAGAATTTCTGCTTGACTTCTACTCTCCAGGAAATTTTTAAAAAGCCTTGTGCGGAAGCAGCCCCAAGACCTCCTGTTAGTGATTGGAACGGGAGTGAGTGCTGCTGTGGCACCAGGAATTCCAGCCTTGTGTTCCTGGCGAAGCTGCATTGAAGCCGTCATTGAAGCCGCAGATCAGCTGGAGGTGCTGCACCCGGGGGATGTGGCTGAATTCCGCAAAAAAGTGGTCAAAGAGCGAGACTTGCTTGTGGTTGCACATGACCTCATCAGAAAGATGTCGCCGGTAAGCACATATCTGTAGCTTTGCAACAAACAATATTGGACGCACATTATTACCATACAATAGTGTTTCCTCAAACTTGGGTCACCAGCTGTTGTTGAAGTACAGCTCCCATCATCCCTGACCACTGGTCCTGCTAGCTAGGGATGATGGGAGTTGTAGTCCAACAGCTGGAGACCCAAGTTTGAGGAAACACCAGAACTTAGTTCAGGCAACTCTCAGGTGAGCGCCATTGCCTTTGTAAGAGAACAAGGGAGGCGTTCATGGGGAGTTCCAGCACCTCTTTTTCTAGAAAAATAGCACTGGATATAAGGTAGCTGCCCTTGTATACTTAGGCCAGCTTTGCCTGTCTTTCTGTTGGAAGACGGAGAAAGAGAGGGGCCTTCCTCCTGTCCTGACCTGTTTCTTGAACTATTGCTTTTGAACCAGTTTTTGTGATTAGGGGTTTGGTTCCTGCTCAGGTTCAAGGCAACCAAGAAATCTTAGATTTGGACTTCAGTACTGAATCACTGGCACTAGCCTCTTTAAGTCACTGCTTGGGCTTAAGGGGGTCTTTTCCATGCCTTCTTCAAGGTATTTGGCAGTTTCTCCATTTTTGCATTTTTAGGCTAACACTGTCCTGTTCGCACTGGGCAAATTGGGGGAGGCATGCTGCGAAGCAGGGGGCTATTTGAAATGGTTCAGGAGGACAAGGTTATATACTTGTTGTTTGTTGTTTAGTCGTGTCCGACTCTTCGTGACCCCCTGGACCAGAGCACGCCAGGCACTTCTGTCCTCCACTGCCTCCCGCAGTTTGGTCAGACTCATGTTTGTAGCTTCGAGAACACTGTCCCACCATCTCGTCCTCTGTCGTCCCCTTCTCCTTGTGCCCTCCATCTTTCCCAACATCAGGGTCTTTTCCAGGGAGTCTTCTCTTCTCATGAGGTGGCCAAAGTACTGGAGCCTCAGCTTCACAATCTGCCCTTCCAGTGAGCACTCAGGGCTGATTTCCTTAAGAATGGATGCGTTTGATCTTCTTGCAGTCCCTGGGACTCTCAAGAGTCTCCTCCAGCACCATAATTCAAAAGCATCAATTATTCGGCGATCAGCCTTCTTTATGGTCCAGCTCTCACTTCCATACATCACTACTGGGAAAACCATGGCTTTAACTATACGGCCCTTTGTTGGCAAGGTGATGTCTCTGCTTTTTAAGATGCTGTCTAGGTTTGCCATCGCCTTTCTCCCAAGGAGCAGGTGTCTTTTAATTTCGTGGCTGCTGTCACCATCTGCAGTGATCATGGAGCCCAAGAAAGTAAAATCTCTCACTGCCTCCATTTCTTCCCCTTCTATTTGCCAGGAGGTGATGGGCCCAGTGGCCATGATCTTCGTTTTTTTGATCATAGAATCATAGAATCATAGAGTTGGAAGAGACCACAAGGGCCATCGAGTCCAACCCCCTGCCAAGCAGGAAACACCATCAGAGCACTCCTGACATACGGTTGTCAAGCCTCTGCTTAAAGACCTCCAAAGAAGGAGACTCCACCACACTCCTTGGCAGCAAATTCCACTGTCAAACAGCTCTTACTGTCAGGAAGTTCTTCCTAATGTTTAGGTGGAATCTTCTTTCTTGTAGTTTGGATCCATTGCTCCGTGTCCGCTTCTCTGGAGCAGCAGAAAACAACCTTTCTCCCTCCTCTATGTGACATCCTTTTATATATTTGAACATGGCTATCATATCACCCCTTAACCTCCTCTTCTCCAGGCTAAACATGCCCAGCTCTCTTAGCCGTTCCTCATAAGGCATCGTTTCCAGACCTTTGACCATTTTGGTTGCCCTCCTCTGGACACGTTCCAGTTTGTCAATGTCCTTCTTGAACTGTGGTGCCCAGAACTGGACACAGTACTCCAGGTGAGGTCTGACCAGAGCAGAATACAGTGGCACTATTACTTCCCTTGATCTAGATGCTATACTCCTATTGATGCAGCCCAGAATTGCATTGGCTTTTTTAGCTGCCGCGTCACACTGTTGGCTCATGTCAAGTTTGTGGTCAACCAAGACTCCTAGATCCTTTTCACATGTACTGCTCTCAAGCCAGGTGTCCCCCATCTTGTATTTGTGCCTCTCATTTTTTTGCCCAAGTGCAATACTTTACATTTCTCCCTGTTAAAATTCATCTTGTTTGTTTTGGCCCAGTTCTCTAATCTGTCAAGGTCGTTTTGAAGTGTGATCCTGTCCTCTGGGGTGTTAGCCACCCCTCCCAATTTGGTGTCATCTGCAAATTTGATCAGGATGCCCTTGAGTCCATCATCCAAGTCGTTGATAAAGATGTTGAATAAGATGTTGAGCTTCAGACCATATTTTGATGACCATATTTTGATGTTGAGCTTCAGACCATATTTTGCGCTCTCCTCTTTCACCCTCATTAAAAGGTTCTTTAATTCCTCCTCACTTTCTGCCATCAAGGTTGTGTCATCTGCATATCTGAGGTTTTTGATATTTCTTCCAGCGATCTTAATTCCGGCTTGGGATTCATCCAGCCCAGCCTTTCGCATGATGAATTCTGCATATAAGTTAAATAAGCAGGGAGACAATATACAGCCTTGCCGTACTCCTTTCCCAATTTTGAACCAGTCAGTTGTTCCATATCCAGTTCTAACTGTAGCTTCTTGTCCCACATAGAGATTTCTCAGGAGACAGATGAGGTGATCAGGCACTCCCATTTCTTTAAGAACTTGCCATAGTTTGCTCTGGTCAACACAGTCAAAGGCTTTTGCATAGTCAATGAAGCAGAAGTAGATGTCTTTCTGGAACTCTCTAGCTTTCTCCATAATCCAGCGCATGTTTGCAATTTGGTCTCTGGTTCCTCTGCCCCTTCGAAATCCAGCTTGCACTTCTGGGAGTTCTCGGTCCACCTACTGCTTAAGCCTGCCTTGTAGAATTTTAAGCATAACCTTGCTAGCGTGTGAAATGAGTGCAATGGTGCGATAGTTGGAGCATTCTTTAGCACTGCCCTTCTTTGGGATTGGGATGTAGACTGATCTTCTCCAATCCTCTGGCTACTGCTGAGTTTTCCAAATTTGCTGGCATATTGAGTGTAGCACCTTAACAGCATCATCTTTTAAAATTTTAAATAGTTCAGCTGGAATACCATCACTTCCACTGGCCTTGTTATTTGCAGTGCTTTCTAAGGCCCATTTGAGTTATATACTTACCTTATATACTTATATACTTACCCATTTGAGTTATACCTTAGGTATATTAATGTGGTGAGCCGTAGCTCTCTATTCTTGTTTTCTCTGTGGACGAGAGTGGTTACAGTTCCACCAGGATGCAAAAGTTATCCTGGCATGCGGTTACTATTTACTGTCCCCAGGAGGGAATAAAAACACTTTGTAGAGTAGCATAATGCGCAGCCTTCTGATATCCCCTCATCCTCAACTACAGCAAGTTGTGCACTCACAGCCTCAACTTCAGCAGAGTGATTGAGACCTTGGCAGACCAGAAGACATGGCCGGTAGTCTGCAGATGGTGCAGGCTTTGTGGTAATGTAATGAGCACTGTTAGAAATATGAAGAGCCTGCTGTATGAGACTAAAGGATTGTCTCATCCAGCATCCTCTTCTCACAGCAACCAACCAGATGTCCATGACAAGCTCACCGGCAGAATCTGAACACAGCACTCTCCCCACTTGTGATTTCCAGCAGCCGATACTTAGAGGCTATGCGCCTCTGACCGTGAAGGTAAAATAGAGCCATCAGGGCCACTAGGTGTTGATAGCTTTATCCCCCGTGAATTTTGATGCTTTCACGGTTTTTATTTTGCTGTCAAAGGCCTCTACATAGATGTCTTCCTTCTGTCCTTCTCTTTCCTCCCGCAGCGCACTGGAGATGCCAAGCCAAACTTCTTTCAGGACTGCCTAATGGAAGTTTTTGATAACTTGGAGCAACACATTCAGAATCCTGTTGTTCTGCAGTCAATTCTTCGGCTAATGGAGAGAGGCACTATGGTGCTGACCACAAACTATGACAACTTACTTGAAATCTTTGGTCAGCAGCAGAGTAAACCGATGGAATCTCTTGACTTAAAAGATAAGGACAAGGTATGCTAAGACTACCGCTGTACCAAATTAACAAGGGCAATTTATCAGGTGTTTGGTGGTGATTATTTATTGAATTCATATACCGCCCTTCATCCATATATTTCAGGGTGGTTCATCCACCTCAAAGTCAACTGTTTCAGTTTGAGCTGTATTTCAGAGGTAAAATGGCTTTATTTGGGGGTACAGAATCAGAGCAGCTGCAGTTTTTTTCACCTGAAAGTCCTGCTCTAATTGGTTTTTGAATATTGGCGAACTAGGAATTACTGTTGACATAATAACTGTCTGCCTCTTTTGCTACTGAAAGCAGCTGAATATACAGTAAGCCCACAACTTAGCTCACTTTACTTACATGACCTCAACCATAAATGTGATCTTATATAAATGAATATGTTGGAAAAATTGGGAAAAATCAAATACACTGTAGAAGCATGTCAATCAGCCATTGCACTCACTCTGGGCGGCGTAAGAGTCGGAGGGTGAGAGAGGGCCTATCAAGAGCACAGAGGGCAAAGGGAAGCTGGTCTGAGAGTGGGCAGAGGTGATCTGAGAGCAAACGGAAGATGGGCTAAGCAAGGGGAGGTGGTCTGATAGCGAGGGGAGGTGATCTGGAAGGCGACCTGAGAGCAAGAAGAAGGTGGTCTGAGCAAGCTGAAATGCTCTGGATTTTTAAAATAAAAACATTGAATGCCCTGCAGAAATCCAAAGGTACAAAAAGTGTCCCATGCTGTATTTGTGTGTGCCAGGGGTGGGAGAGAGATGCATGTTGAATCAGAAGTACAGTGGTACCTCAGGTTAAGTACTTAATTTGTTCCGGAGGTCCGAACTTAACCTGAAACTGTTCTTAACCTGAAGCACCACTTTAGCTAATGGGGCCTCCTGCTGCTGCCGCGCCGCCGGAGCACGATTTCTGTTCTCATCCTGAAGCAAAGTTCTTAACCTGAAGCACTATTTCTGGGTTAGCAGAGTCTGTAACCTGAAGCGTATGTAAGCCCTATTGAATTCAGCATGTAAATTACTCACTCCCAAGTAAATGTGTTGAATTGGCAAAATGGCTTTTCCTGGAACTAAGCTAATTTCAAGATATTTGGTCCTGTCACTGTTTCACTCCAATGCTAGATAAGACCAGCTGCCCACCTCCTCTCTGTATTTACAGAATGCAATTGCAAACACTTTTGCAATTTCCACAACTTTTGTTGAAATGAATGAGAGCAGCCTGAGAAATTTCTTTCAGTGGAGCTTGCATTTGCAGGGGGGCAGGAAGTAGCCCAAGGTTGTTCTTTGTCATTGTTCTTTTATTTTGAATAATGCATTTTTTTAACAGTGGGCGGAAAATTCTTCATCTTTAAAATGTTAACTAGATATACAGTGTTTCTCTAAAAACAAAAATGTTTAGTCTAGCTGTACTGGAGTGTTCTGTTTTCAGCTATGTGTAGCATAACCGCTGTCAGGTTTTGTTTTTTTTAGAAAAACTATTTTATAAGTAGCTAAAGAAGTATGTCCCTTTGCAATAACAAGGCTCGAAGAGAATTCAACGTTTAGCAGCAAATTAGGAAAGCTTATTATATTAGTGCATTTCCGTACTCTTTAAGCAAGCCAGTAGGAGCCATGGACTTGTGAATGTGGGATCCAGTGGTGTTATATTACCCCAAAGCAGTCAGGTATGAGACCCAAGGCTTGCTATAAAATCATAACAACTAAACGAATAGCAGCGCAAGGGATCTAGCATGTTTTGCGGTAGAAATAAAGGTCAGCTGTGAAATCACAGGGTGTTTTGAAAGCCCCAGGTAAACTGAAACAGCTGGTTAAGAAAGTGGCATGGTTGACAATATTCTGTTGCCCATCTGAATGGCTATAACTGGATTACTTGTACTGACATTTTTCTGTAGAAGGTAGCTGGGTTGATAGATACATTTTCACCCTATTGTTTTCTAGAACATTGCTGTATTTTTCCATTTAAAAAATAGAAAAGGAAAATAAACACGTATATTTTGATTTGCAAATTACCCCCTCCCCCATTTTGTTTGAAATGATACCATTGTAGAATTTGCATTATTGCAGAATATTGTTCTGCATTTAATAATTTGAAACTTCGCTCTCAAATGCCATGTTGCAGCCTAGACAATTCTCTCAAGAACGGCAAGCCTTCAACAGGTAGCAAATGAAATATGTGTGAATGCCTCAGCCTGCAGTTTGGGTGGGTTCCTTTTCCAGATTTGGTTGTTGTTTTTAAAGTAAATGAGGGAAGTGATAGTACTGTCACCAAAATGAATAAATCACACGTCCCTTTTGAGGCACGGCCCCTTTCTGCCTCATGCTTGGCAGTATTAATAAAGTGTTTGGCTCTCTCCAGGTTCTCCAATGGGCAAAAGGACACGTCAAATATGGGGTGCTTCACATTCACGGCCTGTATGCTGATCCCTGTGGAATGGTGTTGGATCCCTCAGGATATAAGGATGTTACTCAAGACCCTGAGGTGATGGTATGTGCACCTTGAAACCAGGAAATTCTTCTCTTTCATGTTATGTCGCCTATAAATCAGGAAGTGCTTCAAAAGCATCTTTCTCTTGTTGGGGACAGGAGCTTGCCTTCCGTGGCCTCCATCTCCTTACATTAATCCCTGTTGCCCATGTTGTATCATTTAATATGATGCATATTTTTGTGTGTGAGGAGGAATTTTGTGCAGTGAGCCCACAATTTGCCCACATTGAGCTTGTGCACATTCAGCTTCACACATGCAGCAACAAATTTTAAAAGTTGCAGGGTTTGGGGGGAAATGACTTTAGTAATTCCATCCGCCATTGAACCCGATGGGTTTTGACCATGTGTGATTTTGACTTTAGGCATGATCCCCAGAGCATTACTCCCATGTAAGTTGCAGGCCTACTGTATTTTGAACTGTTGAAATAACTTTTTCTGATACTTATTCCAGTGTATGCGTCACTCTTTGATGAAGTGCAGATGTGCACAGTGTGAGAGGGTGGAACTGAGGGCTGCATTCAGCATCCATATTTGTTATATATGTAGTTTTTACAAGAGCTATGTGAGTTTGGTCATGCTATAGGCTACTCTTTTTCTGAGGAAGGATTTGAACCCATTCTTTCCACTATACAATATTCTAATGAAATGCTAATTAAGTGGATGCAGACAGTGGCTCAGCAACCTCTTGATCATGACATCTTAACAAAAATATTTCTAATATATTGTGTATATTTTGAAAAGTAACAACTGGTTATACTACCGAATTCCTTGGGCATAAAAGTGCAAATGGTTATGTTATCTAGAGCCTTGTAATGAACCCATCAAATATAGTAACTTGCAAAAAATTTACTAGCCCAAATGTACAGTTATTAGCCATTTGTGGCAGTGACAACCTGAAGGAAAACCTATTGTCTTAAGTGTTTGGAAACTTCCTTACCTGGAAGCAATTTTGGCCCACTATCAATCAGGAAAGGGGCCATTTATGAGCCCAGGCTGCCTTACAATTAAACATTTATCTTATATGTGACTTAATGTTGACTTAGGAACTACTTGTTCATTACAGGAAGCTCTGCAGAACCTGTACCGGACAAAATCATTTTTGTTTGTGGGCTGCGGAGAAACCCTGCGTGATCAGATATTTCAGGCCCTCTTTCTGTACACTGTCAAAAACAAGGTGGATCTAGAACATTATATGCTGGTGCTTAAAGAAAATGAAGACCAGTTTTTTAAACTCCAGGCAGATATGCTCCTACATGGAATAAAAGTTGTATCCTATGGAAATTGCTTTGAAAGTTTCCCAGAGTATGTTCAAGATCTTTCCACTCAGATCTGCAAACAGAGGAGTCCAGGTACTGTGTGTGTGTGTGTGTGTGTGTGTGTGTGTGTGTGTCAAATGTTGTGTCAAAACATTTTTTCTCTCCTCCATATACCAGTGGTTTTTAGTTTCATATATTTCTGGAATAAAGGGTATTGCTTTAAATATGTGTGTGAAACTTCATGCTTCTGATGCCACATTCATTTGTAAAATAGTCTGTTGCAACCACCATCCCTTGTTTCTGTACTACCTATGACAATCATGGAAATGATAGCCAAATCATAGATTTATAGATCTATGATTCCTTTTATTCAGGCTAAACATACCCAGTTCCCTCAACCATTGTTCATAAGGCTTGGTTTCCAAACCCTTCATCATCTTGGTTGCTCTCCACTGCACACATTCCAGCTTTTCAATATCCTTCTTAAATTGTGGGGCCCAGAACTGGACACGGAACTCCAGGTGTGGTCTGACCAAGGGAGAATAGAGCAGGACTATGACTTCCCTTGATCTGGACACTAGACTTCTGTTGATGCAGCTTAGAATAGCATTAGCTTATTTTTGGCTGCTACTGCTGTGTGTGTCACACTGTTGACTCATGTTAAGCCTGTGGTCTACCAAGACCCCAAGATGCTTTTCACATGTACTACAATGTTTTGCTCTTTTATTTTGGAAGGCCTGGGATACAGCAAAATATACATGTTAATAAGTATTGCCAATGGGCAAATATCCCATTTTCAAGAAGGTGGCCCACATGCTGCCCTATCCCATCTTTGGCCCAGTAGTTCTAGGAAGAAGAGCTGTTTTCTCTTATCCCAAGAGTCTCTAGACTACTCTATCATGGAAATATTATCACGATACAGTACTGCAGAACTGAGGATGTAGACTCTTGGACCTGTAAAAGCACAAATTAAATGTAAATCATTATTTGCGGTTTGCCTCCATGGAGAAACTTACCACTTTATATAATATAGGAATATTACATTATATAATACTGTGTGTGCAAAGAGTCGCATGTGAATAATGTTCTAGATAAGATGTCTCTGTGCATTTAGCCTTTGATGCAGCCTTGTTTATTAGCAACTCTGAAAAGTGAATGTAGCTAAATTCTCTCTCGTTCATGACATAGTTTTCATTCTTTCTCCAGATGCAGATCGGGTGGACAGTACAACACTTTTGGGTTAAGTACATTTTTTAATTTGAATGTAGGCCTTGTAATATTCAGTTGGGGTGGGTCTTGGGAAGAACTGGGATAGTATGATTTTGCACCCATGTAAAATTATGTGCTAGTTTGAATGTTCGGGTAATTATATTCTGTTTTACAACAACAGTAAAATAATAATAATAAACCCTCTCTCTGGCAATAGTATTCAGAGAAATTGATAAGATCTTAAACTGTCACATTCCCCCAACTTCTCAGTTAGTGGTTTTATTTATAATTGACAAATTTAACAAACATTTGCATAATAAAGAGTTGATATAGCACCTTCTTATAGCAGCTAGAACAACCATTGCAATTTGGGGAAATTGAGCCATTCTTACTACTTGGTACACTAAAATGTGGAATATTGCTAGAAAAATGTGGAATATTGCTAGAAAAACAGTCCTTAGGGGCCAAAGAAAAGAGGATGATTTTGTACCTATTTGGTCTCACTTTCATTTCATTTGAAAGCAAGGAAGAAAATGACCAAGAACTCACCTCAGCCTATGAACAAATATAGCTGATAAAGTGACAGGGGGTGCTTGAATACATTATCTACTTTGCCTTGGCATAATAGGGTTTGTTTTATAAACTTTTATTATGGTTTATTTATTTTGGTTTATGGCTTATTTGTTTTGTGCCGTAAGCCCTTAATTTTGCAAGCAGTAAATGTATAGGTGTTTCTCAGAGATTTTGTTTCAGCATCATAGTGCTTAAGGCAGGAGCACTGGAAGGCTACCTCAAAGTTGTGCCTCTCAGGAGAGCCATATAGTAATACCACTGAAGGGTGATTTGTGTGCTTCTTTTGTGCACAGCCACAATTTTAACACATTTACCTTTGGATTTTGAGGTACCACTTCAAACAGTTACAATGGTATAAAACTGTTATCTGGTCAAACTACTTGAAACAAACATCTCATTTTTCTATTCAAGGGGGAAAATCCTCTGGGGCATGCCTGTCAGTGGTGTGTAAGGCCAGCACCTCAGCTAACCTGTGCAGATCAAGTTAGGAGGGGGCAATCTGGACGTTAACCTTCTCTGCCCACTCCTGCTTCCTGCCTACTTTATCTGGGGTCTCAGGAGGCCATATCAGGCCTCGGGGGCCCAGGATGTGGATGAATTCATTTCAGCAGGGAAATCTCCACTCTGGCATACCTTTTGTAACTGGTTAACCCCGGGTTCAGGGACCTGAAAAAGTCCCCAACCCCACCAGTTTGGGCAGTAGCAGCAAAGGGAAAAAAAGTTAAAGCAGATGCACAGCCGAATGGGCAGGACCCTGATGCAGGTGCAAATTCTACCTCTGCTGGTATGACCCTCGAAGGGTTATCCAATGGTGAATGCAGAGCTCCATCCACAATGGTTACCTACGTCTGGCACACGGCACAGGATTATGATGTGAATTCTAATGGAGTTCAATACATGCTTTGTTGGAGCCAGTCTTTTCATGAAAATCCTTATGTTCACTACATGTGTACGATTTTGTAATACTGTTTGTTCTCACAGGAACATCTTGCGTGGATTGTGCCAAGAGACGGCTAGGAGAAAGCAGTAATGACCAACTTAAGAGAGCAAGGCTTGCAGATAATGGTAATTCTAACCCGTTATTTGACATTTATTTTTATTTTCAAGGGGACAAACAGTGCATAGCACATATTTATGAGTCTGCAGTGTAAAAGTAAACAGAATTAAATAAATGCATGGTGTGTAAAAATAGTGTGTCATGGGGCATGCAGCTGATATTTTCAAGAACATGTGCCTAGAGTCATGCCACACCATGGGGAAAGTTGCACTGCATCTTAGTTATCACCAAGTCCTGATCTGGGTTAAATAAATATTTGTTTATTACTGTAAGACCCCAAAATGGTCATTTTGAGAATAAAAGTGTGGTTTGAAATGCCAAAATAGTTACAGGGGGGAAAAAATCCTTGTGCAGAGATTTCATAAACACTATCCTGCCTGGATCAACAGCTTGCTGTGTTTATTTCTGTGGTAGAAGTGGGGAATCTTATTTTTGCCATATAAACAGGGGAGTGGCGTGCCAGCAATCTAGAACCAATTGGGAGAACTCGTGCATCTCCAAACTCTGCAGTCATTTCCTAATCTGGAGGTGTTTAGAGAGATCTTAGCTCACATCATCAACAGCAGTTGGAACTGACTATCTTGATGGAAACAGATTTCTCTGCATATAAAAGGATAAATAAATTATGAATTAAGTTTGTATCTCAGCATAAGTGTGGCCTTTTGTCATCCATGAAGAGATGATAAACTGCTCCTTAGAAGAGCATAAGCATCTACCTGAAATGCTACAAGGCAGTTTCCTTTCTGCCAAAGTTTTCAAAGTTTTAAAACAGCTGCTTTTAGAACTAGAGGCAGAATTTCCTGGCACCTGTGCATACCCATTGCTTCTATAATTTGTCTAGATAAAAGAAAATAGTATTTTTTCAATTTGAAAACTTTTTTTCAAAAACAGGTAGTGTTGAAGATGTACCCCTCTCTGAATACAAGAATGTAACTTGAACAACAGTGGTCTACGATGAGTGTGTCACCTGATTATATCACGGATAAGGATTCCAACAGCGGCCAAGAGGATCCTTTAAATTTATATGCATTGTTTAGTAGGAATTGTTTAGGAATGGATTTTCTATTACAGACTTGTACACCGATTCAGGATATGTACATTTTAAGGGTATCCATTAACCAATTTGCAACTACCTCAGCAAAGAAATACTGCAAAAGGATAGCTTCTGACATAAATCTGTGAAACAGGATTTTACCTTCTTTGAATTGGACTAATTTTGTTTCCGTTTGTCTGAATCCAAAGGTGAGTATTAGAAATCATCTTCCCACAAGGGAAGTTGTGAGAAAAGTGCATGAGAACTGCTATAGAACCTACCCATCAGAGTGAACTCTTGTGCAAACATTTGTGGAACAGCAGTAATGGTAATTTTTATTTTGCTTACTCCTACCCCTTGCAAATATAAACAGGTTTTGCACATTTTCTAAGTTTTAAAAAAACTTGGTTGCAGTGGGGAACAGTAAGGGCTTTTAATTTATGTACATTTTAATAAAAAGATTTGAAACCCAGGAGCAAATATATGTTGTTTTCTGTATATTTTTTAAAAACCTGGCAAAATGTCATAAAATAAAGGACATAAATAGAAGGTAAAAGCTATGAGACTAGTAGAGGAGCTTTGTTAGAACGGTGTAAAGCATTGTTTTATTACAATACCTACTGACCAACAATTACCCACTTCTTGGGGAAGAGATCTGTTCTAATCGGATTCAGGGCTATGACTGAGTTGTCCTGATATGATGACCTTTACAGAGAGCTGGACATGACCCTCGGGGTCCCTTCTAACCCTGCAGTTCTGACTTTGCACTTGCTTCTTGATTGCTGCAGCTTTTGATACAGTTGACCACTGTATCATCCTGGACCGGCTCCATGCCATGGGAATTGGGGGACCTGTGGTTCAGAACTACTTGAAAGTCCAGAAAGTAGCACTGGGAGATTGATTTTTGACTGCCTGGTGGTTAGCTAGGTTAGCTATTTAATAAGTATATGAAGCCACTAGCAGCAGTCATTAGGAGTTTTGGGGCAAGGTGGTATCACTATCCTGGAGACATATGAATCAGGACAGGCTGTGTAGGATCTGAACTATTGGGATGCAGTGTTAGCACAGATGAGGGGAAATAAGCAAAGCTTGAATCCTGGCATGATGGAGGCACTGTGGGCGAGTGGTTCTTGTTGCAAGATGGGGTTGCGCTCCAACTGAAATAGCAGGTAATGCAGCCTGCGGGGTGTTTCTGAAGGCCCAGATAACCGAGTAAGACAGCTTGACCACAGTAGTTCACTAACGTCTTGATCTGGAAACTGCACCCAGTGTAGAATTAATGAACCTAAGCATTCATGAAGTGTTTCTATTCTTTTCCCCCTGCTTGTTTACTGTATCAGGGTGATTTTTCTTAAAATCATACATTTCAAAGTGATACAGTTCAAGAACACTTTTTCTGTCCTACATGCTTATGTAAAGCAGGTGTATAACATAAGCATCTCTGAGAATTGATATATGTAATCTGGCAGGGGCAAGAGATACCAATAGTGAATTGCAGTGTAAAATGTAATTACCACCACTATTTTTCTAGAAAAAGAGGTGCCAGAACTCGCCATGAACAATTATTCTCTTTGAATGGCAATGGCGCCCACCTGAGAGGGGCTGGAACTGAGTTCTGATGAGTTCCAGCTGAAAAAAAGCTGTTTACCACTTATATTAGCAACTATGCTTAGAAGTGACTACAACGTAGTTTAATTAGAAACTAAACATTGAATAGTTTATTTAGCAACTTTCAAATATAAATGCAAGCAAAACAAATTTAATGGAAACACTAAGAAATATTTTGTGTAAGAAACTGTTGCATAATAATCTTCACTGACCAGTGTCAGTGGTTCTAGTTGTCTATATATGCTTTTTATTAGTTAATGTCACTGGTCCCCAGTCTTTCTTTTACCAAGGATAACAATCAGCTCAAAAACACCAAAAAAAGCGTGGAACTTCAACTATAACTCAGGCCAGTACAGATGTTACATGTAGTTGTGTGTCATGACCCTGTTTTAAACAGGAACACACTGCTGGAGGGAAAATCAAGCTTTGAGGTGAGGAGTGGCTAATAGGGTGTGTTTACCTACTCATTCTTCCATTCCAGATTGCACCCCCATGACTTTTCACGTGTTTGCTCTTGTATCTGAAACCTCTCGAGGTAGTGGCGAAGTTAAAGTGGGGGGGTGGGAACGGGATAGAATGGTGGGGAAATAATTAATACTATTTCCACATTCAATCCCATCTGCCCCTCCAGCAGCTTTTCTTTTTGATAGAGACATCGGGAAACTGTATCTAATGTCTAACTAGGGTCACAGCTAGTGCAAATTTTAGCACTTAAACTTCCACAGAGAATAAGCATATTAATATAATGCTAAACAACCAATTCTCACATTAAATATATGTGAATTTAGTTTTATACTGAATTCTAATCAGTAACATTCAAACCTGTCACACCGTGGTTAAACAAAAGCCCACAGCCACAAATTCACTTTATAGCATATCTCAACGCAGAGCTCTTTCTGCCTTTCGGTTGCCTTTCATTTTCATCATCAGACTCTCGATACAGAGTAAGATCCAGGCTCAGCACTTGACTGTGGATAGTATCTTCTTGCTAAGGAGAGAAATGATCAAGAGTTATCACAGCACACCAGGCCATAATGATGCAGCTGTAGGTGTTTGGTTTCTTTGCATTTCTGCCACCCAACCCTTTAAAATCACCAGGGATTTGATTCTATAGAAGTGTAGCCATATTCTGTTTCTGTTTTCTCTATGAAACACTTAGGGTGCGGAAACTATCACTCAAGAGTGTGTTTTGTGTGCATGTGTGCATATATATACCTCAGGCCAGACTCCAACTAAAGCATCTGCTTCAGAATAAAACTCTTCCTTTAGAGAAATAACGATAATCTGAAACTTTTCTTGGGCCTGCTCTTTAATGAAGCTTGATATCTTTTTGAGAAGAAAAAAAGGAGGTTGTTAGATACATGCAGAAATACAATGATTAGAAAAGAAACTTGCTTTATAGAATGGGTAAGCATACTGTTGTCAAGACATCTCAAATACAAGACTATGCTATAAAAAACAATAGAGGATCTGCTTGGAATAAAAATTCCTCATGTAATATATCTCTACTCACTAAGACAGTATTTTATTTGTAAAAACCCACACCATTATGGCTTGGAGGAATTGTAAGAAGTTGCTTAACAAATAAGTGCAGAAGAAATCATGGGAGGGTCCTCATTATAATAGATAGTTTTATTATCTATTCGGGGATCTTAATTAAAACCCTCAAGTGCTAATAGGGCTACAGCAGAGATTTGATTAATACTGTCAAAAAATTGTGGAAGGTTGCAGGTTCCTTTCCAAAGGAGCCTGCAAAGCCCTTGCACCGTACATCCCAAGTGCCAGACAACCAGCTGAACAAGACGTGCTACAAAGCCCCGTCCCCAAGCCCTGCCTCTACCTCCCTTTACATGGGCAGGGCTTGTCAAAATGACCTAGTGGGCTGGGTTAGGTCTGTGGCCTGGAGGTTCTTCACACCTGCCTTGGTCCCTAGGCAAATGCATGTCTACTCACTGACAATTTCTGGAGTCCTGAGATCCCAATGAACAGTGGCTTTCAAGAACTAACAGTTCTTGTGGCTGGAAAGTACTAGTAAATCTTAAGATGCATTGGGTAAGCATGGAAAGATTATTAAGTGACCAATCAAAACTGCCTTTAACAGGGAATTAGCATGAGATGCAATTAACTTCCTTCCATTTCAAATAGGTCTAATATATGCAGTATATCCAGTGTAATCTCTTTAATAAAGGGTTTGCTTGCTATTTACTCTTTGCCCCTGCTTAAAAATATTGTTTTCATATATAAAAAGAAAAAGCACGTTTCTGAGATGGAATGTTGTTTTTCTATTGGTAAGAAAGAGAGACTGATAGCTTACCTTGCCAATGTTTGTGTTATCTAGTGCTGCATCTACTTCATCCAAAACAAAAAAGGGGGCAGGCCTAAAGCTGAAACAACAAAGCAAGCACAATTATTAATGGAATGTAAATTAGTCCAATTGTACCTATAAGAGTAACAGAAACAATTTCACCAATGGAGTGTGCACCTGCCACCACCTGCTTTCTACTTTAATGACTGCATATTCTGAATTTCAAGACTTCTTTTTACTTTTTCTTAATATATAGCCAAAATCCCCCACAAATTCAGAATTTAAAACAAGTGTGCCATATAGTATACAGCCTCCCCCACCTTATAATATGCCAGTGGTACAGAAATATAGAAATATATTTCTACTTCTCTTTACCATATTGCCATCTAAACAAGACAGTATTACTTTTCTGTATCAAGCTAGAATGGAATTAAAAGTAGCACTTTAATAAATTAATATTATTATAGCACTTAATACAGTGCTGTATTATCTAGCAATTCCCACCTCCATAGCCAAGACCTAAAAGGGAATTGAGCAGAGGTAGCCTGGAACTTTAACTAGACCCTTTCCAGTACAGCGGTATTTTGTGATTTTAGAAAAAAGAAAATATAAGGTCAAGCCAGAAAATAACTGCCTGAATGGTATCCTGAAACCTATCAGAAATCTCCTAATTAGGGAACAATTAATTACCAATGCCACTCTACACCGAACAAGAAGTAGAGGCAGAGGAAGCTTCTAATTAAAGGAACAGTATCCTCCCTGAGAACTGCAGTCTACCCTGGAAAAACTGATGGTGCAATTGCATTTTATTTGAAAAACAAAAAGAAAACACTGGGTGGGCAATCATACTGTCTGTTTTCACTATGAAGAATGAGTAAGAAGGATGGCAATTCCATTCTAAACAACTAGCATGGTAGCAGTCCTGGAAGATAAGTAGGAGACAAACTTCATTCAACATAATTCTCCTGTTGTGGGGTAAGGCAGCATTACGTTCTTAAAACGAATATGAGCATTACAGAAGAGGTAGCTATTGACTATCAGCTATAGAATTAGCGAGCAATAGAAGAGAAGTAATGAACTTTGTGTGAACATAGCTGGAGTGCACTTCATTGTTCTCAAACCTTTTTATTTTAATTACAAGACCAGAATAATTAGAAATTACAAAAATTAAAAGATTACATAATGAAACAAACTAAGAAACAATATAAAAGACAAACACAATAATTTAAATACATTTCCTACTACCTGATTTTGGCTTATCAATAAAGGCACTTTAAATCAACAACAAATCCGTTTATTGTGAGGACCATGCCTGTACACAAACATTAACACAACAATAGTTAAAAGATATTAAAATTCATTACATACTACGCCAACAAAACCTTCATCCCACAAAATAGAAAGAGAGGGAAAATGAGCAACGAGTTAAACAGACGATGAAGGGGTCTTTACATTGTCATCCATAAGTCTTTCCCTGGCTTTCATGGCCTTCATCACAAAAACCGCTACCACATGGGTAATACGTGGGTTTGCATCAACTAACAAAAATTTTACTCTATCTTCAGGATTGGTTATAGAGTTGGGTATAATTTGCAGCAATGCGTCTCTAAAGCTCGAGTAGATGGGGCAATAGAGGAGGTAATGTGTAAGATCCTCTTTAATTTTCATAAGGCAAGGGCATAAACGATGTTCTACTGGGGTTTTTGTGAATCTACCGGTCAGATATGCAGTTGGCAGTGTTTGAAACCGTGCCATAGTGAAAGCTCTCCGAAGGGTGGGGTCAGTGATCTCCACCAAGTAGTTGGCACAGATTTTGACTGCTTTTACTCGGGAAACCAGTAGGAAAACCCAGAGTTTTTTATCTTTGTGGAGTCCAAAAGGCGTCTTTTTCAAAGATCCATTCCCGAACTTTATCAGGGCTCCACAATTTAAGGGTATTAAACTCAGGTAGATTGTATCTGGATAGGATATCTAGTAGGTTTTTATGCCAAGTAGTATTATTTTGTAATAATACAAAGGCTTGTTTAGCCAATAAGGTGTTCGGGGCATCTGTGAGGTTGGTGAAAAAACGCAGGAATCTTAAGTGGGCCCTGGCAGACACAGAAGGTAATCCTACTTCCACTCTTAGGAGAGCTGCCGGAGTACTCTGAGGGAGGCCTAGAATTCTTCTGAGGTAAAAATTTTGGAAGATTTCAAGCCGTTCTAACAGCTTCTGATTCCATCCCCAGAGTTCTACTCCATATAGCATCAAAGGCACTTTAAATCATTTATTTCAATCAGCAAGAAAAAAAGGCAACTACCATAAGAACCAGTAAATGATTTATGTAAACTTTCTCACTGTTATTTTATATATCCCTTAAATAATTGTGCTCATCTGACCACTAACCCATGTTGAATTCTAAATAGAGTAATTTTGCCCCAAGGAAGGAGCTACTTTGTATAATTTTTATTTATTTGGATACTGATTTGCATGGAAGTGCTTAATGGCTAACTTAGATTGTTATCTTTGTAGCAAAAGCTGCAGTTCCTTAGGAGTATTAATACTGCACCACTCTCAAATTCTGCACCTGGAAGAAGCCCCCTCACTTGCTGCATCCCTGACAGACTTCCTTTGGAATAGGTGGACCTTGGGAGAAAGTGGCACATTCTAGACGAAAATCTACTGTATTTGTGTATTGCTCCCCATGTTGCCTATCTCTTGTTGATCTAGCGAAATAAATTGGAGAACCAGGTTTTCTGGGTTGGAGCTTGAGCCAGAACTGAATATAGGAAGAACATCCCCTAGAAACCGGGTGTTGACACAGGGCCACAAAAACGTGATCAACAGCTTTCCACATTTACTTCCAGAACTTCGGAGCATAAGCACAGGACCAACAACAGACCAAATCCTCTCTTGCCTTTCCACACTTCCAGAACAAACTGAAAGCTTATATATGTTGCTCTCCTTTCTCATCTTGTCCACCATATATTCCCAGAGGTAGAATCTCAACATTATATGAAGAATGGAGTGACTCCAAAACGATACCACAGTTGTGTAAACTGTGATACGTGTGTCATATTCTTTTTTGAAGTGCAATGTATTTCTTACCTGTGTATTGCAAACACAAGAGCCAAAGCTGCAACAGATTTTTCACCACCTGACAGGTTGTCCATTGGCATAAATCTTTTTCCAGGAGCTACACAGTTATAGCCAATACCTTCCAAGTAAGGCTCCTCAGGATTTTCGGGACTAAGAAACGCCTGAAAGATACCAGCTTCCTTGTTCAGTTAATAACAAAACATGGGCATTAGCTTTATCTGTAAAAAGTTTAATGCAGGGCTTGTCAACATGGTGACCTCCAGTTGCTGTGAACAACTATCAGCCACAGCGAACAGGTACGACAAACAGGGACGACAGGAGTTCTTGTCTGCAACATCAGGAGGACACCATACTGGCTATTCCAGATTTCGTGAATGCTAAAAAAATACTGGTTTCCAGAAATGCAATTTAAATTATTATTTTGGGCAAAAATGCAATCCTATTCAAGTTACGGATGCAAACAATACAACATTCTTCAAAGTAAATTTGGAGAACAGGGAGCATCTAGATGTGAAAGTCCAAAGCAGTATTTGTACTGGATGGAAAAGAACAACAGAAAATCATTCACAAGCTGCTTTGGAAACAAGCCAGAGCTCCTTTCTGTGTCCATGAGCACAAAGCTTGAGAACACACTAGTTCTGTGCATGGCAAGTTAACCTAACCTTCATGATAACTGCATGCCAACTTTGCACAGAACAAACTCCCCACCCCCAAAATAAACTCTTCTACTGTGGAGCCTTGATGCAGCTTCACAGGTAAGTCATCTTTCACCAGCTCTGTCGTTTCCCCATGCCCAGCTAACTCTGTATTTCCAAGTCATGGAGGCAGAGGGATTGGACCCTTTCCTGTTTGCCTTGAATCACTTTATTTTGAATCCTGAATCTGGTTGCCCATATTTCTGTTTTAAAAACTAAGAAGAATTCCTTGAATGATTCGTTTTCTGATGGACCAGTAATCTAGCCTTAATTTACAACCAGTACACTCACTGTTGTTGTTGTTAATGGTCAAAGGCCTGGAAACGATGCCTTATGAGGAACGGCTAAGGGAGCTGGGCATGTTTAGCCTGGAGAAGAGGAGGTTAAGGGGTGATATGATAGCCATGTTCAAATATATAAAAGGATGTCACATAGAGGAGGGAGAAAGGTTGTTTTCTGCTGCTCCAGATTCCACCTAAACATTAGGAAGAACTTCCTGACAGTAAGAGCTGTTCGACAGTGGCATTTGCTGCCAAGGAGTGTGGTGGAGTCTCCTTCTTTGGAGGTCTTTAAGCAGAGGCTTGACAACCATATGTCAGGAGTGCTCTGATGGTGTTTCCTGCTTGGCAGGGGGTTGGACTCGATGGCCCATGTGGTCTCTTCCAACTCTATGATTCTATGATTCTATGTTAAAGAGTATTAAATGAAATATCTGAAAAAATTACAAACCTGAGCGCTACTGTTTCTGCAGAGTTTCTTGTAGATCTGATCTATAGCTACTGACACATGTTCAAAACACTGACTGAACAGCTCGTATCTCTTTTTCTTCACCTTCTCAAATTCTTGCCTACATAATCTGGCTTCTGTTCTACAAGTCTCAAACACTGTAAAAGGATAATTGAACTAGCTTTAACAGAACATATCACTAAAATATTGGGAGTTAATTTTATAGGGTAGAATCCAATTAATGTCCTTGCATTCAAGCAAGAGCTTTTTCTGGTGGATGCCTCTGCTAATGTAAGAACATAGATAGGTGATTTACGCCATACTCAAATTCGTTTCAGAAAGTTGTCACTCTCCAGCAGAGGGTTGAAGGTGGTGTGGAGAGCGGCAGGTGGAAGAATGAATTAGCAAAAACCAACCCTTCTCCCTTTTCCGCTGAATCAAAAGTCCCTCCATGAGAGCGAAGGTCACCAGCTGGATTCTACCCACAATTTCCTACCAACTTCAGTAAACAAACACAAGAAAACAGTATTTATACAGATATTCTTTTGCAACAGAAAGCCACTTTTCTCAACATACAAGTTTGTGCTGTACAAGGCCAGGTTCTTGCAATTTAAACAGTGTTCTCAGTGAACATTACATGTTTGCACTGCTATTTAAACTCAAACTTTACTGTAGCTTATGCGGCCCATTTATCTATCTGTGTATGGTGGAAAATTAAATTGCTTCACACTTTCATGGAAAGAAAGAAAAATCCTTGCAAATTCCTATTCTTTTGATGGAACACTGGATTTACCAGGATGTTCTCTTTCTTCAGTACCTCTACATCTATTGCCCTAAAGGGACAAATAAAAATGAACATCCTTGCAAAAATTGCCATTGCAGCATAGATGCTGACATAGGGCCCCTTCACCTGCAAGTTCCAGTGAGGGAGAGAGGTGTGGGGCCTGAGAAGGCAGCACTGTCCTCCCAGCCCCGCAAGCCCTTTGGGGCAACCAGGATGTGCAGTGCCCAGGATGTTTGTCAAGCCTTGCGGGCCTGACAGGTAACTCTTGGGATGAATGGAAGCTTTGAGTCATCACGGGAGGGACAAAGAAGAGTATCTTACAAGGAAAGGGATTTTGTGAGGGTTGAGAAACATTTCAGGCAAGGCCTATATTACTCGGACTTCTGACACCTGAGGTGTATATTTTTAGGAGCCACCATGCTTTTGTGATTATAATGTTTTTTTAAAACTATTTGGAAGTTTTTAAATGTTGTAACCAAGAGCTGTTTTCAGGTCCCTAAAGTGGTATCTAAAGAAAGGGGGTGGGGGGAGGCCAACGACGATTACTTTCTTGGAATATTGCCTAAGGGATCTTGTGGTGGATCTACACACAGAAAAAAATGCTATAAATAAGTAAGAAATTAGATCGTTACAACAAAATAAAATAAAAAACCCTTTAGAAAAATGCATATAAAGATTTCCTGCTCTCTGGCGCCATCTGGTGTTGCATGTTTATAGCGCATTCAAATTGTTTCTTTACTAATGTAAAGAAAGTGGTGTCCTTGCTTGATGCAAATAATGGTGACAACTTGCCAGGCAGAACAGTAAGGTCCATAGGGGATGGGTTGGGGACTGCCCAGCAGGGTTGGGAGCTGTTAGGATATTTCCGTTCCACCTTAAAAGGGAGCAGGCTTTGTGAGTCACAGAGTCTGCGTATTTCCTGTTCACAGGATGTTTCTGTTTGTCTACTGCTTTCGTTTCTCTCTCTGTGCCTGAGACATCAACGCAGGCAGTCATGTTTTCTTTGTTCTGACCAACGCTGAATAAAATTGTAAATAATGCTCTCCTGCGTGCATCTTTCGCTGTGCGAACTCTGCTGATAGAGCGTGCAAGAGCTCTGGAATGTGGGAAGCTATTTCTGGGGCTCATGTCACTAATTAACTGATACTGCGTTTCTACGAGAGATCGCTGGATCGTCCGGAGACGGCATGGGGCATGATGGCCTTTGTCTCCCTGGCAGTATCCCAACAGGAGCATGTGCTGAAGGGGCCTGCTCATAACCTAACCATATGCTCAAGTATAGGGCTTCACCAGGGGAAAAAGGCCCCAACAGATAGTCCAGCAGGACAAACAGCCAAGTCACTTCTCCTGGGGGGGGGGGGGGAGGGCAGAGAAGGAAGGGGAGAGGAGGCCTCCTACCCACCTTTCAAATATTTTATCTCAACTACTTATTGATGGCAAACAATAAATAAAAGTTGTGGCTGATTTTTAATCTAAGACATGTGTTCGCCTCTTTCCTGTCAACTGCTAGGACATTTTGAAAGACTTGCAATAGCGTAATAAATTAGGATGGAAGTGCGTTGTGGGGCGATCAAACAGCCACAAGGGCACCCAAGCAATCTGGGTTTACAAAAACACCTTTCTCACTACTACTATCAGAATCACAGAATCATTTTATTATTAATTTTACTAATTAAAAAGGTTAATTTTATTATTAATTTTATTAATTAAAATTTTACTAATTAAAAAAGTTCAATATTACCATCAACCGATTCTTGAAATCTGCCTGTAACAACATGTAATCTCTCAAGAGCTCTCATATTCGGTGCTGCTGTTTTTGATAGAACATTTTCTCTAGATGCTATTTCCTGCTGAAGTTTTGTTAGGTGAGTTTCAATATCTTTGTCGGAGCGCAAGTCCTAGATGTAAAATGAAATAAAGAAATATAAAAACAATGAATAATGGTATTGGGTTATTAAAATTGCCTCAAAGTCTTAAAAGAAAAGACAAGGAGGGGGGAGGGTAATGTCCACACCAGAGGAACTTGCTGCAGTTGCAACATTTTGATTGTCCCTGTGGGGCTGCAAGTGCCATGCTTATTCCTCGTGGCCTTATGGACTCAGATTGACCTTCTTAGAGCATACACAGTCCATCAGATGGATACTGCCATCTATCACCCACAAGCAGGAACGGCAGAGTTTAGGAAGTATGATTTTTAAGGTACTGGTACTGACACAATATCGAATCCCTGCGGCGGGGTGAGCTCTCGTCGTTCGGTCCCAGCTCCTGCCCACCTAGCAGTTCGAAAGCACTCTTAAGTGCAAGTAGATAAATAGGTACCGCTTTATAGCGGGAAGGTAAACGGCATTTCCGTGTGCTGTGCTGGTGCTGGCTCGCCAGATGCAGCTTGTCACGCTGGCCACGTGACCCGGAAGTGTCTCCGGACAGCGCTGGCCCCCGGCCTCTTAGGCGAGATGGGCGCACAACCCCAGAGTCGGTCACGACTGGCCCGTATGGGCAGGGGTACCTTTACCTTTACCTTTTACTGACACAATAGGGAAAACACACTAGAACGAAAAACATGTTTTAAAAAGGCTTTCAGGAAAGGTCTGGGTGCAAAAGCTACTAAGAGAAGAAAAGGAACTGCTGTGGCTTAGGAGAGCAGGTGTGGGGAAGAGACTGAAGACATTTGCTCACATACCACAACTACCACTGAATAAAATTAAACTCGGGGATTCACTTCAGGTGGGGAAGCTGAGGGGCCAGGAAACAAACAAAACACCAAACCACTGGGCCAAGTAGCCAAGCGGATGTGAGGAGATGTGTGAAGAAAAAATTAAAATACTGTCAGGAAAAAACAATAACCCAAACCACTCAAAGCTCACCATAATGAACAACAAACAAGCAATTCACAGCCAATATAGCTGTGAATACCTACAAACAACAATAGTCTCAACACAGTGTGCAGTGTCTGTAATGCAGAATGAATGCAGAACTAATTTCTTTTCTTTTCTGTCTTATTCTGTCTTATTAATATCCCGCCTTTCCTCCAAGGAGCTCAAGGTGGCATACATAATTCTCCCCATTTTTTCCTCATCAAAAACTTATGAAATGCAGAAGCACTTATCACAACAGGTAGCTGTGCTATGAAGTGCAGACTGCACAAGCTGTGGGAGAATGTCCCCCACATGCTGATGAAAACCACCCTTCTCCCTGAAGCTGCTTCTGTCTGTGGGAGGGAAGCTTCAATGGGCGTCCATGAAAGATTCCCTCCGTGGTTAAAAGCAGCAGGAACCGGTTCAGTGGTCCTGCACACCACAGGATGGATAGTCTCTGGGGTGATTGATTGCAGTCCTGCTTACGGAACAAGTTGCATGCGGCAGAGAATATCTAAGGAATCATGGTAGCCAGATGTTCCTTTTAACCACATTAGCTAGGCAAACGGAAAATAAACTGTGGAACCAAGCTCATGAAAACATGCTTTCATGAACAATATTAAAATGGAGATCTTCTCTTACCATTAGCTCTTTTGCAAGATTGCTATAGTCTACATGAATTGCCTCTTCTCTTTCATAGATATCAGCCGTCATTTCTGTAGTTTCAGTATCAGATCCCAGCTGTAACAAACAGCCAGCAAAATTAATGGAGATACATAATACTTAAAACTGAAAAACCCAAAACAGCAGCAGCAGCATCATTTGCTTCTCTCTCCTCTCCCATCTTTCTACTTATGGTTAAGGTACTGTTTACTTCTTCATGAAAACCAGTGGTGCCTCAATTTTATCCAGCCTCCTCTTCATATATTTCTACACATTTGCCCTTTTTGAAGGGCAGGAGCATCAATTGTTAAATATACATCCTAGCATCTGAATAAAATAGCATTGGATTCGGGGGGGAAACACCCATCGGGATGACATCTTTGCAGTTCTGGTTCTCTCTGTGCTCTCTCAGTGTTAGCTCTTCTAAAAATTTGGTACTTGCCACCAGATAAAACTCTAGTTCAGTGTTTCCCAAATTCGGCCCTCCAGATGTTTTCGGACCACAGTTCCCATCATCTCTGACCACTGGTCCTGCTAGCTAGGGATGATGGGAGCTGTGGTCAAAAAAAGGCTGGAGACCCAAGTTTGGAAAACACCACTCTAGTTAGATCGAGGTCTGGCAGACCTTATTTATGTACAAACTCCACAACTGTATTAAATTATTTAATATGCCACAAAACCTACCTCTATTTCACTAATGTCATCCAAAGATCCCAACAGAAGTCCTATCTTTAAGTCCTGGAGTTTGCAATCAAGAAAGGTATTATGCCTTTCTAACTTTTTCTGCTCCAGAGAGGTCTCGATTGCAATACCTTCCTTTTGCAACTTTGCCAACTCTCTGCCACCAAAAAGCAAGAACACAGAAAACATAACACTGATATTTCAGCTACTGGAGGTATAAAATTTATATAAGAATAGTTTGTATATTATATTATTAATTTAGACAATACCTGGGTTGAGAAACACATGAGATAGTACTTTTGAACCACACTTCAAGCTTAAGTTTCTAGCCCAAATACAAAGTATCTCAGTCCATTCTAGAAATCAATTACTTCCCCATCAAATTCAGCTTGCTTGCTTGCTTGATTTCAGTGACATGTGTAAGCAGACACAAGTAACTGGGAAAGATTTGCATGCCCTCTTTCAAAGATAGAAACAGTTTTGTATCCAAGTCATTTACACATCTGCTCTTGCCACTTTTTTACCATCCAAAGCCACCCTGTTGCTGTGATCCAACGAGCACCGTAGCTGAACATGTGCACCTTGGCTTCTGGATCTCTTAACCTGCTCTGCACCAGAGACTGCATCTAAGTTCCCACCAATTCATGAGTGGCCTGTCAGGCTGCAATGAAGATGGTACTGGAGACACCCTGTTGTACACAAAGAACCTCTCCATCACAACCCTTCGGATCTAGGTCATAGCAGTTGTACAGTATTGTACTATCTTAGCAAATATACAATGCTCAACTTAAATGTTCCTGTTCACACAAATTTGTGTGAGAAGTTTCAGATATCTGGAGTTCCTCCCCCACAAATCACTTAACTATTCTAAACACAACATTACTTACCTTATTAGAGTTAGCAATGCCTTCCTTGATTCCTCAACTTGATTCTGTGCTTCTGCAACATCAGCCTTATTAACATTCCACCTTTCCTTAAGCTGCTGCAGTTCCATCGTAACTTCCTCGACCATTTGTAAAAAGTTTTCCTCATCCTATGTACGAAAAGTATTTATAAAGTATAATAGCCTCATGGTAATCTTATCCAGACAAGATAGTCAGATACCTATTGGTAGAGATGGAACACTCTAATAGTCTCTGTGTTGGGTTGATCTACATGGATTTTCCCCTCCTAATTCCCATCTCACCCCTTAATCTTAGTTACATTTATATGTTCATATTATAGACATGCAATGTGCACATAGTGCAAAATGCCTAGAAAAGGAGGTCTTCTAAAATAATTAAACCAATTTCTTTGTGAAGTAAATGACTGTAACCAAATCTGATTATTATATTACTTTAAGAAATTTTATGCACTGCTTGATTGTAGTGAAAACTTGAAAAGCTGGATATAAATTATTCTAACAAACCATTGGTTACCTTTTTCAGGCTAATAATATAAGCTTCATCTTTGCAAATATTCTCCTTTAACATGTTATTCTTCTTCACCGCCTTGTCTACCAGGCTGCAAATATACTCAAGCTGAGCACTCAGTCGTGTCTTCTGGTTTTCAAACTGAAACCTGAACAGACACAATACAGTAATATGTTAAGATGGAGACAGCAATGTTTTCCTGTTAAGGGCCATTACATCCCTCAGAAGTAATGTCAAGGGATCTGTGTTGACTGTGGGAGGGCCAAAGTCAAGAGTGGGCAGGGGCAGAGTCAGAAGTGTGGGGGGCACCCACTTTCTCTCTCTATTTCTGACACACCTATTTTTCTCTTGCCCCCTCTTTCTCTCTACCCAGCAGACTGCCAGGGGAGGGACAGATCACACTTGCTAAAAGGCTGAACTGATCAGTTGCAGAGGGGTGGGCGTCCATGTGGCTTTAGGCTTTAGGCTGCCCTCTAAATGCAAAGTAAAAAGAAGTTATTATTTAATAATAACAATAAAGTGGCATCAGAATGCATGGCGCTTTGCAGTGGAGATCCCCCAAAGCTTACAATCTAATCTTCAATCCAAGGGAAGCAACCAAGGAAGCAAAATGTATTGGAATCAGGGGTAAATAAGGAAACAACATATAAAAACATTACATGCAAACATCCCTATTGGTAGGGATAGGATAGGAAAAACAGCTTTGGAAAAGAATAAAGCTAGTGACAATTCCACTCCCCCAATGTCCTTGCATCCCCAAGGAGTAGCAAATGCATAATGGCGAGGGCATTCTATGCAAACATAGTTCTGACCTCAATTTAACAATAAAAATCATCATATGATGATAGCTGAACAATATCTTAGGACAGAGACATTAAGTATGTATGTTTACAGAAAACGGAGGAATTCTGATTACAGAATGATGTTACAAAACATCACTACTATTCACTTCTGAATAGTTACCTCTTCTTGTCAATTTCTTCCTGCTCTTGCAAATGTTCTTTTTCATATACACGAATATTGTCTACTCCAATCTCTGCACAGAAGTCACTGAAAACATTGTCTTCCACCTATTGCAACAACCCCCCAAGAAGGCAATTAAATATAATGCCTTAAAAGAAGTTCTTTCACACAGTATATGAAGGTTTTAGAAATGTAAGAAGTATCAATTGTTATTGTAGGGATGTTCACATGTTACATTCAACAAGTATACAAGTAGTTAAGCTATGCAAATCAACAATAACACTTCTATATGTATAGACAAATGCTTGTGTCTGTGTGTAATGTGTGAATGTGCCATTTAGGAACATTGTCAAGACAAGAATTTTCTTAATGACCTCTTTCACAGAGTCACTGGAAAGAAACCTCACTTGTACCTTTTCTTCTTCAACAATGCATTATATTATTCACTGTGAGGTATTGACCTGTTAATTGGAACACAGGAACACTGAAAAGCTTGATAGGGCCAGAAGAATTTCACTACTATTTTTTTTACTGCAGACACACCTTTTTAGGAATATTGGGTTGGTAGAGATCAGGCCAAGCTAGACATTACATTATTAAGGAAAGTAGCAATTGTACAAACACAAATAGTAGCCATATGGCATGTGTGTGATTTGGACTGGGACTGTAAGGCAGCTGGGGGGGGGGAGTCTTCAACTCTCTAGCCCCTCTATGCTCCCCACCTAAATAATTGTCCCCATCCCATGGTTCTTATCTGCACTGGGAAGAAAATTCCCTTTGGCAATTCCCTTTGGAGCAAGTGGGAGCTCTTCTCCCAATGCAAATATGGGGGTTGGGAGGAGAGATCTGGATCAGGACAATGGTGGAAGAAAAAGGTTAAATTGTCTACCCTTCAGCATAGCTCCTTTTTACTTGGTTTTATACACACACACACACACACACACACACACACACACACACACTTGCTAACTGCATGAACAGCATCACATCTAGTTTGGCCTGAACTGTTACAGAAATTGGTGTTTGGTTAAAACTGTTTCCAATTTTATTTTATAATAGAAATGAAGTGCTGGTGCCCATTTTGAAGATTTCCTTTCTGTTAAAGAATTAACATAATTATTATACAGGGGCAAATGCCAGAGAGAAGTAAAGGCAGCACTGGAAATTCTGTAGAACGTATTTCCAAGAACGAGTCAAGGACTTCTTCAGGGACACTATCAGTTCTTCTTAGAGAGCTGAACCTTGATTACTATCTATGGCAGCAAAAGCTGACCTGCCTTACTTACAATACTGGTTCAATTTAAATGAAACCTAAGATAAGGGTCTTACTAAACTGTGCAGGGTTCCCATAAAGGGTTGTAAGTTGTCAAAGAATTATCCAAATAAATTGGCAAGCTGTATCTTAACCTCTGAAAGATGGATCTTTGACATTAGACCATCACTGTGCCCTTTTTCCCAGATGCCAGAAAATTATTTGAACACTTTTCTATGTTTTTGTTATTAACAACGTTAAAATTTATTTTAACTGAGCTTTATGTGCTATATAGCTTTTGGATATGAAAGTGTTTTGTTGAGCTTTTGAACCCCCCCCCCCCCCGGGTTATGTACATAGCCTGGATAGATTTTATTTTGTAAACTATTAATCTGTGGTCTGAGTGAACATGAAGTCTGCAAAGGCCTTTGGCTATATGCACTAAGTTTATTACAAGTATAAAAGCAGGTCTGGAGCTTTCCCCTTAGATCAGTGGGTTTCAGAAGCAGCCACACAAGGAACACACATCTACAACCAATTGCCGTAAGACAGCCATTCTATGATTCTATATGCTGCCATGAATGAAAATCTTATACCTCATTAATTTTCTTTTGGAGTTCATCCATTTTAACAGCTCTTTGTAAAACTCCTTCATTCAACATCACATGTTCTGACTGGCTATTTAATAGTACACTTTCCAACATAGATTTTTCCTAAACACAAATAAATATGAACAGTCTTTAAAAACAATGGAGAACTAGTCTCACTGTTTTAATTATTTATGTTGTGAGGATATTTTATTCTGGAACCACACAATTGTACTGCAAATGTAACTATCAGAACATAGGTAGCTAACCTGCAGTCCAATGGCTGCATTTTGTACCCAAAACCATTTTTGGTGAGGCCTCCCCTAAAACTGCTCTATGGGTTCCCCACTATGAGACCATGAGGCCAAAAAAGGCTTTTTGTGGGGCCTTCCATTTTTCTTTTTTAAACATTTAATGATTTTAATGATATTAATTCTTAGAAATAATTTGTTACTGCTGTAACTGGTTCCTGCTGTAACTGGTGAGAGCAACATGTTTGAGGCCAGACAAATCCAACCTAAATTTCTCAATTTACAAAATAATTTAAAATTTAATTTAAAGAAATTGTTTTATTGACTCCTTCCAAAGGTAAACTTCACTATGCTACTGTGATGACAGAAGTTTTTTATGTCCTCTTCACCCTCCCAAGATTTGTCCTTTATAAACAAAATTGACAAAAATGTGGTTGCACTCACTTTTAAACTGTGGCCCCTGGATGATTGATCAAGGGCAGTGCAGTCCTTGGCACAATAAAAAAGTAAGCCAGTCCGGAGATCAGAAGAAGCCACCCCCACTCCAACACCCAAACACAAAAAGGCCAACGTTTAGTTTCCTGTTCATCTAAATGCAGACTTCATGTTTAGAGTATAAAAGTATAAAAATGGAAGTCTCCCAATAGAAACATTCCCTCCTAAATTATGGGTTTTTAAAAAAATATTACTTCTATTTCTTCAACGGGTAAAGGAAAAACCTCAATTATGTTACCATTTAAGATGTCCTAGTTAAAACCAAAAAGCAAGTCATTTTGCCCAGACAAGGAAAACAGCCACCTGAGAGTTTGATATTACCTTATAGAAATTAGCAATATGTTTTTTTTTAATAACTTCTAGTTCATTTTGCGAATATTTATGTCGTGTTTGAATTCCTTGGCATTGAGCTTGCAACTGCTTTAAATCAGCCTCTTTGCGCTTGATTTTCATCAAGTCCTAAGTATCGGAGAGAAATCTGATTTAGTTTGCATTTAGAGGAAAACCTACCTAAATCACACTTTCTGTAACAAATTTGCGGTGCAGTTCTCCAGCCGGGTAATATGTACAAGAATGTACTTATTTGGGGAAGCTATGCATTGAAATGCATGCATTAGTGAAAATAACAAAAAAATGCATAATATTATGGGAAATTGCATTTCAAAAACGTGTTCATTAGGGGAAAAATTGAATCAATTCATCAAAAGTTGAATTGTTCCTTTTACAGTATTACAGTAATGATATTAGGATACTCTGGCACCTTAAATTTAGGTTATGGGCCCAACAACGGAATGTCTAGGCACGCTTTTTTAAAAACAAAAATACAAAGCTGAAAAAGAATGAACTACAGCTAAAATATTATGTTCATTTCAAATGATCTCATCTGCAAAAAACAAAGCCATGCTTCCCCTGCCCTCCCTAATATTCTGAAGAGGGTCTCTTCTCCAGTCTTCAGAGAGTGGCTGGAAGTGGGGAGGCAGAAAAAGGTCCTCCTTTCCTTCCATTCTGTAGTTTGTGGCAAAACGCACCTAGAACAATGGGAGTTTCAAACACTGATACTGTTGGACATAATTTCCATAGCTTTACCTTTAGTTCATTCATCAGCTTCTCTCTCTGCTCTTTAAGTTCATTCACCTCTTTTTCATCCCAGTATCTAGCTTTCTTTTTCAAATCACTTGAGCCGCCAGAGATTACACCAGATTTCAAAAATAAAGTTCCATCCAGAGCCACTGTCTGAAAATTAAACACTTTTTTCTGAATTGATCAATATTACTAGACGGCAATTAGGCATAAGTATACTAACAATTCCTGGACTGAGGTGAGGACAAGTATATGGGGGGGGGTGGATATTCCAAACTAGCTATATTCAAATCAATTTTGCCTTCCAATAAAACACAAAGAAATGGGACATAAAACCAGTGAAATAGTTCAGGATTAAGACAATTATATAATACAGTGTGTATCTGACTATCCTGTATCTTGGATGAAAGGTAGTATATGTGATAACCTCTGGCTAGCTTAAACCTAACCAGAACCTCTGGCTGGTCTCATATAACAGCAATTTTAAAAGACCTGCACTGGATGTCAATTGTCTTATGAGCCTGGTGTGTATGATGACTTTTAAGCTCCGAAGGTTTCTATTTTACCTATTCAGTGGGACAATGTTTAACTTCAGTAGCTAATGTGTCATTAGATTATAAACTCTGTTCCAGCTCCTGCCAACCTAGCATTATATTTTATATAACACTTTATTTTAATTTAAAACAGCAATAAAAACAGTAGCTATAACAAAATAATCAAAATAGATAAAACTGACAAATTTTCAAAAGCAAATGTTCAGAGGACCACCAGTGTTATCATGTCAGGGGGAAGTGTTTTAGTCTAGCCTATTTTAGCTGTATAAACTGTTTCTGGCACTGGCTAGCATTTCAAGTTATATAGTTCTGGAAAGATGAGCTCCATGATTCTTCTGAACATGTACCTTGCGTGTTAAAAGCCAACAGGAAGTCTTATTTCAAAAGTGAGGTTCTTTGTGCTTACTTTAAGTCGGTATGGTCCTTCAAATGCTATTTGTCTTGCTTCCTGTACTGTCTCACATACTAAACCGTTCCCACAAACAAACTGAATTACTTTCTTCAGTGCAGGAAACGATGTCTGTATAACATCAATCATCATTTTAGTTCCTTTCATCTCTCTCAACTGTTCATTGATTGGTTCTACCTAAATAAAAATGTTTAGAAAAGGTTACTTAAATACAATGAAAGAGCCTGTAACAAAGATTACAAGTATCCTATCAGATTTTGTTTCTAACATACGAAACATGCTTTCAGACACTCATAAATTAATAAAGCAATATTAATTGGGCCCATAAGGAGCCACAGAGAGACCAAGTATACAAACCTAGACACTTTAATTGTTGTACAAAATCTTCTAAGACTACAGTCACATCTTACAAAATATTTTTAAAGCAAATTTAAACTAACAAAATTTCTTAGATGTCAAAGTAATCCCCAATCAGCTTTGTGAATAAAAAACTAATAATATACCTTAAGGTAATCTAAAGGAAGGAAAGTTTCAGCCTCAGCTCTTTGTTCCTTGAGGAAACGAATACATTCTCTAGCTACTTTTTCTGAAGCCACAACAATCGCAACCATATACATGCCAAAAACTTTGGTGACAGCAAGCTGATATTTTTTATGGATAGGGTGACACAAGTCAAGCAGTCTTCCAAACTAAAAACAGAACAGCAATAATAAGCAAACTGATCTTTTGAGTTTGTACAGCACACATTTCATTTTAGCTAATTTCCCATTTTTTTCAATTAAAATTGCATTTTTTTCCCCTTGATGGAAGCATCCATTTTCAAGAGGCATCAGAAAAACCGAACCTTACAATCCTCATTCTAGAAGCAAATACAGGAATGTTTTTAAGAGCAGTAAATCCATTATGAAAAGACATTCACTGCATTCTACCTAAATGAACCTTATTTGAGCACATATGAGAACCTACTATGTGGAGCATCTTAGAAACCTCTGGGTATGTTGGTGTATTACTATGGCAATGTTTTATCACACTATTTTTAAATAAACTTGTGATTGCTGCTAAAACACTTTCCCAGCTTTAGCTCAGTGGAAAACCACTTGAATGAGAGACCTAATATCATACTATATGGCTAGCCAATGTGAGGCTTCCAGACGCTGTGGGACTCAAGCTATTAGCCAGCAAGAGCGATGGTCAAGGATGATGGGAGCTGTAGTCCATCATCATCTGGAGGGCATCACTGCCATAACGATAATAATAAAAGGGATTGTTTTATTGTCTAGAAAATTCATTTTGAGTGCAGCCATTGAACACATTGCTAAAAAGACAGTGTCTGCAATGGGTGCGTCAGTGATATTCTAATAATTAAAACACTATCTATCTTTCTATTTATTTATTTATTTATTTAAAAGGGGGTGTATGGAATGTTTTAGTGATCATTTGTTAAAAATAAAAACGTATTTTTTAATCTGCAAAGATTAAAGTGAATGAGTGCCAAGAATTAAACTATTGCTCAGGTGAACTGCACCTTCTCCACAGCCTCAACATCATGTTCACCTGTGCTGATGCAACATAGACGCAGGAAAAGCACAATACTCCTCCCAACGGTATGGACAGTCAGATACAATGGAAAAACTAGGATTGGCTCCTAGCGTTGTCCACCCATCTCAGAGCGGTTCAGCAGGGAGCTTCCAACCTCCTGCTCCTCTTGTCCCACAATGCCAGTTGGAGAAACATTCTTGTGGTTTCATAGTTTCTTTTTGTAAACCAAGTTGAGATTTATTTATTTTTAATCAGGCGGGGTATATATTTTATGAAATAGCTAGCTAGCTACTAGTTTCTTACTTTTAGTGAGCATAAAAGTTATGTAGCCACCTTAGTGCTACTTTCTTTACCCAGTTAGGAAAATACTGATACTCAAAAATGGTTTGCTAGTTCTCAGTTGCACTTATGTTCAACACTTCTCAGCATTTATCAAGTAGGAAACATGATAAAGACAACCGGCTATTCACAAGGCGAAATTCTGAAGTCTACTGAACACATTAAAATGTAACAATGAGTCCATCTAGTTACCACGTGAGCAGGATATAGTCTTTTGAGGCTCTCCAAGTTTTCAGCCCTTGTCTTCTGGCGTTTCCCCTCATGGACATCGATTTTTGCATTATGCAAGTCACTGACAATTTTATTCAGTTCTTCGTTTAACTCAGTCATTCGTGTCTTTGACCTTTCAATTTCATTTGTGAGTGTTACTTCTTCCTGTTTTTTCTCTGCTAAAGATTCACTTCAAACCAAAGCAAAATGGTAAAAAACGCAGCCCAATTAGTTTAATGTCAACTAAGCAATACTGCCATGAATCCTGAAGGTCATCCTTCAAGGGAGGATCCCAGTCAAATCAAGCAGGGCTTGAAGTACCTGCCAATCAACAGATTGTCATCACTTTCAGCAGGGATGGGCTCCATTTGGGAGCTGCCAAGAAAAGCCAGTCCTAGCAGGGCTGCATTTAGTGCCAAATAGAAACCCTGCTTGCCAAGGAACAATCAGGATTGCACTTTAAGGCTCTTGGTTGTTCTTATGCAACAGTGTTTTTACCTGACCCCTAGGTAAATGATCTTAGGTGGGGACACTCAGTAACAGAATCTGGATCTGCAAATAGAAGTACAACTCTCTGGAAAAAGCTACCATGGGAGAAAATTCCTGATCATCCAAAGTGTCCACAGTGAAAAACAGTATGAACCAAAGATACATTCAAGTGAGAGAAAGACCCCCCAAATGTAAAACTTACTAAACTAAATTCTTAAGACAAGCATCTCCCCATCCCACCCCCACACCTTGCACAGTAACCTTCCTGGCTGGGTAGGGCACTTTCTATCCATTACAAAAATGTACATATGTAAGACCAGTAATAATAACAATAATTATTATTATTAATTTATACCCTGCCCCAGCCACTCTGGGTGGCTCCCAACAGAATATTAAAAACACGATAAAACATCAGACATTAAAAACTTCCCTAAACAGGGCTGCCTTCAGATGTCTTCTACAAGTCAGATAGTTCTTTATTTCCTTGACATCTGATGGGAGGGCGTTCCACAGGGCGGGTGCCACTACCGAGAAGGACCTCTGCCTGGTTCCCTGTAACCTCACTTCTCGCAGTCAGGGAACTGCCAGAATGCCCTCGGAGCTGGACCTCAGTATCTGGGCTGAACGAGGGGGGTGGAGATGCTCTTTCATTATCCTTTTCACCTCAAGTGGTGTTAGCACCAAAACAACCTTGCTCATACAGATATATTGGGAGAGAGTATTGTTCTTACTACTGTATTGTCTGTCACTGTCAGGAACTGGGCAGAGTAGGAATGGTGGAGACTACCTCCCCATCCTGACCCTTCAGGGAGGAAGAAGATGGAAGACAGTATAGGTGTGGACAGGCTGCTTGGACGAGTGAAACCGACCACCTGTCTCCTTAATCTTTGCCCATTCTGGCTCATAAAAGCGAGCCAGGAAGGGCTCCACGGGGTGATGAATGCTTCCCTCTGTGAGGAAGCCTTCCTAGACCCGCTGAAAGAGGGCAACCAGCCAGGAGCCTCTGACAGTGTCCTGACAGTCACCCTGGGTTCATTTGGGAGAAAACGTAGGATATAAATTTTATACGTATTAAAAATAATATCCCCAGTCAACTTATGAAACTCAGCCCACTCCAGAGCTCTATGAGTTTACCTGGGTATATGCAGAAAGCCAGTTTACATCTCAAAACTATACAGCATACACCTGTAGATTTGCATGCAATGCTCTCCCTTTAATATACTATGGTTTATGGGGTTAGGGTTTATGGGGAAAACCAAACAAAGAACTATCAAAATATTTTAATCTAATAGCTCATGTTTGTGCAAAAAGTGATGAATTTAAATTTAATCAGATTTTATAAATACATACACACATGTGCTGCTATACTCTGTCAACTTCTCTATCCGCTTTTCATGATCTTCTATCTGTTCCATAACTTGCTTCATACTTGCCTAAACAAAAACAGAATGTCAAAAGATACTACTTTATCAAAAAGGAATGTGAAGCTTACCCTTATCCTCTCCCTAGTGGATGGAAGTTATCCAGGGGATGGATTGCTCCTATGACTTACTTCAGAGACAGAGCAAAGCAAAGCACTCTGTACTTAACCCTCCCACCAACTGGAAGAACTTCAGGATGCAATGCTGCTGAATAAACCATTTTGGGCATAATTTGGCATCCAATCAACCATTAACATGGAATTTTAGAGTTGGAAGAGACCCCGAGGGTAACCTAGTCCAACCCCCTGCAATGCAGGAATCTCAGCTAAAGCATCCATGACAGATGACCATAGAATCATAGAGTTGGAAGAGACCACAAGGGCCATCGAGTCCAACCCCCTGCCAAGCAGGAAACACCATCAGAGCACTCCTGACATATGGTTGTCAAGCCTCTGCTTAAAGACCTCCAAAGAAGGAGACTCCACCACACTCCTTGGCAGCAAATTCCACTGTCAAACAGCTCTTACTGTCAGGAAGTTCTTCCTAATGTTTAGGTGGAATCTTCTTTCTTGTAGTTTGGATCCATTGCTCCGTGTCCGCTTCTCTGGAGCAGCAGAAAACAACCTTTCTCCCTCCTCTATGTGACATCCTTTTATATATTTGAACATGGCTATCATATCACCCCTTAACCTCCTCTTCTCCAGGCTAAACATGTCCAGCTCCCTTAGCCGTTCCTTATAAGGCATCGTTTCCAGACCTTTGACCATTTTGGTTGCCCTCCTCTGGACACGTTCCAGTTTGTCAGTGTCCTTCTTGAACTGTGGTGCCCAGAACTGGACACAGTACTCCAGGTGAGGTCTGACCAGAGCAGACCATATTAACCCTTCCCCCAAACAGAGCCAATGATTCAGAAGACAATCTATGTAACACTGCCCATTTGTACTGGAAACACATCTTCAGGTCTTCTGGGCTTGAGAGAATCAATGCCACGAACAGTAACAAACTGTCTCTCTTCTACCTCTAAAATGCTAGTGGCTTTAGAATGAAGGATCTCGCTTTGAAAAGTCTATTAGAGGAAACATTGTGAGTTTGCTAGAGGAAGCTCTCAGAGCCCCAAAGCATTCATTTACCTGAGAGTCTGCCTGGTGGGTCCCTGGTACCCTAAAGCTCTTCAGATTAGCATCTTTCACAACAGGCAAGTTTCTCCCCCTGTGAAGCTTGTAAGCCTTCTTTTTTCTCTCCCTGGTCTCCCACTTACTTATAAAAAAATTATTAACACACTACTGGACAAGATACAAGCAGATCCACTGTCATACACTGCCTCTGATATCCCTCCCACTAAGTCAGTCCAGGAGAATATCAAGGTTGACAGTATCAAGAGCCACTGAGAGATCACGCAAAAGTAACAGGGTCTCACTTCCCATGTCCCTCTCGCAATAAAGGTCATCCATCAGGGCAACCAAGGCTGATTCAGTTCTGAAACTGGGCCTGAACACAGACTGTAGTAGATCTAGATAATCAGTCTCATGAAGGAACACCTGCAGTTGTTCAGTCTCCAGCTCCCTTTTCCCCTGAAGGTTGCATCTCTATCCAGTTGCCTTCCCACTACACCATTTTGTTTCCAGAACAATTGAAGTTTCCATCCTCAATTTCCTCAACTCTGCCATGCAAAGATCATTGGAGGACTATTATGTGCTGGGATCTTCATCAATCACTATTCTTTACGGGACTAACTAGATGCAATAGGGAGGGCAGAGAAAAACTGCCTTGGTGCTGTTTGTTAGCGAAACTGAATGCATGAAAATACACTGTTTCTTGAACTGCACAGCAAGTGCAGTATTAACATAGAAATATGAAAACCAAGGGGGCCAACAGGTTGAATACAACTCTTGCCCCAAAATAATTTTTGGTTTGTTATTATTTACAAGTACCTCAACTTCTCTCTGTTTCCGCTGCTCAAATGCCATCTTGTCCTCATCTGCCTTTTGCTCCAAGTGCAGTTTTTTCAGTTGCTGAGTCAATACAGCTACTTTTTTCCTAACTAGTTCTTTCAGCTCCTTATATTTACGTATCTGGACACAAGATCGGACATACATTACCAGGTTGCTTCATAAAAGCTATTTACCAAGTTTATAAAGTGCTCAATAGCAATCAGTAAAATATTATTCTTTTTTTAAAAAATCCACCATGTAGTAATTTTATAGCTTGAATTTTCCAAATCATTGTCCATTTAAGGTATTTAAAATTATTTTATTTCTGCTTTTAATTAACTTTTTAAAATAACATGTAGGACTATATGGGATACTAGAAACAAAAAAACCCAACATCATTTAATATTCTACATACAAAAGATAATGAATATCTACTGCAACAACTTCCTGATTTATGTGGCTAAGAAATAATAATCACTCCAAAAACGAATTAAAAAGAATTTAAAATGAAATGGTGAAAACAACGAACCCCTGATGTGTTAAGTATATGTCTAAAGCTACCTAAAGTTAAAGCTTGAGCATTTTTCTGCTTGTTTTGAAATTTACCTGACTTTCTTCTAGCAAAACCTCTCTCCCTTGGTGCAGTGCTTCCTCTTCAACCTTTTTTTCATATGCTTTCCAAGCTTTATCAATATCCATCAGTTCTGTCTCTAGTTCTTTTTTGTTTTCTTCCATCTTAGCCTGTTCTTTCATATGATCTTTTAAATCTTTCTTAGCTGTATCTACTTTTTTTATTTGGTAAGAGGTTCTTTCTTTTGCTTTAATATACTGAGGTCTTTTTTGATTCAGCAAAATTTCCAGAGACCTAAAAAGGGATATATTTTGATCTTTGAACAAAGTACTTTTCAAAGGAATTCAAGAAAGAATTTTGAAAGGCTCCATTAAAGTCATCAACGTTTTTCCACAGCATGACAAATAAACATCGGTCCACTTACTTTGAATATGACTTCAAGGTTGGCATCAGGAGACATCCATTTAGTGGGTTACTTTATTCAAATCACCCAGAGATCTACCTGGAAATTCTGCCCAATGCCCATATAAAAAAGCCCATGGCTGGTTAATCTAATATACTGGGACACATCTGATTTCTAAGTACTCAAGGGGGAGGGTCACTCTGATTCTGCTACATCCTTTAATATTGCAGGGAAAGAGGCTGCCTTCTGAGATACTTTGACAGATGCAGAGACTGAAGCTGCCCGGGATGGTGCCTTTGCTGGAACTGGTTAAGCAGAGGACATAACCACACTGGAAAAGGTGGAAAAGGCCTTGACGATAAACCAAGGCGTTAAATAATCTGGCTCCCTTAACCTCCTCACTGGGCAAATCATTCCCCTGGCCTCTCTCCTTATCTAAGTCATGAGGTGTCTCCTGAGGCGGCTCTTGAGTCTCAGGAAGAAATGTCTCACTTCTACCCAGGTCCCTAGGTAGAGAGCTGATAGGTTTAGAAGAACCCTTGCCCTTAACCGGAGTAAGGGGAATCTGGGAATTCATATTCTGAAATGTCAGAAAAGTGGCCCTGGACAGTCCTGTTTTGTGATGGCATAAGGTTGGGTTTCAAGGCTTTGTTCACTCTTCTGTTATGCTAAGAAGCTGGGATTGGCAAGGGAAGGGGTGAAATCAGATTTAAAAAATATATATTGAACTTCTCTGGGATTTTAGCTTCTTAGCAATAGTCAGTAAATAGAAACTGAGGCTTTGCATAATCTCCAGATTCAGCAGGCTGGCTCTGGAGAGCTGAAAGAGATTAAATAGAAGCATTCCCACTCAAAGCATTTCACAACATTATACTGCCTCGTGAAAATGGGGAAACAAAATCCTCACATACCAGCAACACCCATTAGGTGTAGCACAGCATTCTGAGAGATGGGTAAAAACAAACATTTCCCAACAATGTTAATTTATGCACTTACTTTATTTCTTTTTCGATCTGCTGCTGTTTTCTATTTAATGCTCCAAGCGCTTTTTTCTTGGCTCCCACTGCATCTTCAGCATGGGAAACAGCAGTTTTGTTAGAATCAATATCCTTGTATTTTGCAGCCAATTTGCTGTTCAGAAAGTTAATTTTTTGTTCATTGTGATACAGCTTGAACATTTGCAGCTTCTCTCTGCATTCCCTTAACTTGTCAAACATCATCTGGTAATGCTCTGCCTGTAAACAACCAAATCATTAGCAGCTAACTGATATTCAACAGCAATGGATATTGGTAGTTAAAAGTTGCAAGCAAAGCGCCAAACAAAAAACTTGCATTTATTTCAGTTATATTAAATATACATACAATATATATTAGTAATAATTTGTGATTTATAGATGCAGCCTATATATTTAAATCTTTAAAACAGTATTTGTAAATATTAGAAATTTCTTAATAGACATCACTATACCAAAGGTTTCAGTGGTTTTTGTGGGGGGAGGGGTGGATGAAGGGCAGATGGGTACCACCACCTGGCCATGCTGCAGCCCAAGCTCTGAGTGCTGGTTTCCTGCAGGCTGGGTCTCTGTGTGAATCAGAGAAGGAAGGTCTCCTACCCTGATCTCTGCCTCGACAATCTATCAGGGGCATGGCCTAGGCATTGTTGTCAACTCTCTCTCCCAGCCTCTCCTGTCTTACGACACTCACCACCTTGATACGGATAAAATGTTAGCCACTGGTTAACAGAGCTGGAAAGGAAACACACTCCATTCATAGGTTTTGCCTTCTCCATAGCAATATTATTTGATAATTGTTTAATTTTATTATTCTTTAGTTTGTCACAACCGGTTATAGGTGTTAGAGGGATAGGGCCAGATCCATAGCAGGGATACACAGGGATACACACTTTAAGGCCAGGTCTAGGTTAAAGACTGGCATGCCTGCCATAAGGGCCAGTTTCAATCTGCACCAAAGCAGGCCAGAAAGTCTCTTCTGTTCCTTAAAACAGGTATGGCTAACCTTCTTTGGTCCAAGGGCCAGGTTTTCTTATGGTCAAACCTCTGGAAACTGTATGCCTGCTGTGGGTATGGCCAATCCACACCCTGTCGTGCACACTCCTCCTGCTGCATGCTCAAGGTCCAGCTCTTCTTTACTTAGCTTTCACTGTTTGCAGTTACTTCCCTTCTGATTGGACAGATTCCATTACCAGGTGGTTGGTTGGTAGGGACAGAAGGAGAAGTGGAGACAGAGTAAGTATGCTGGCTGAAAAAGAAAAGGTGGGCCTGGGAAGTAGGAAAAGCAGCTGCCAGGGAAGCACTGAAAAAAGGAGAAGCTGGATCTATGGGGGAAGGGGGAGGGAAGCAGCAGGTAGGAAGAGGGCTGAGCAGAAACTGGGAAAACAGAAAGAGCAGTTTATTTTTCTTTCATTTTCTTTTGCCTTAGAAACTACACCACTGCTGATATTGCAGAGCCGTTGATTATTTTAGTTGATTATTATTTCTACTGTTGAACAAGAAGAACCAGACACGATTCTCAGCTCAGAACCAGGAGAAGCAAAGAAAAATGTCAAATGAAACTTGATTTATAAGATTTCTGCACAAATAGTTAAAGTAAATTCAGAGGAAACATATTTTGGCACAATAATGCTGGTGCTTATGCTTATGAGCTAAATCTCTATAATGGGAAATTATTTAGAAAACACTGATTTAAATCATGAATTTCTACCGAAAACAATAAAAACACCACCTAAGAACCAAAAACAATATTGCTAAACTTCGCACACAAACTTTAAGAGCCAAATGTTTTGTGCTATTCTTTGAATTACCTCCTCCTTCTCCAACTTGGCACGTTTGCGCTCAGCTGCAACATTTTTCTTCTTGTTATAACTAAACTGTGCCTCTTCCTCTGACTGTTGCATATTCTTCTTCTTTTCTGCGTATTCAGCAGCAAGTTCTCCTGAATGACTAATTTGTTCAAAAAGTAGAGTTCTTTCCTTGGGTTTCTTCATAGCAATTGTTTCAACTTCACCCTACAGTGAAGTAGGATCAAACTACAGAATTACAAAGCATTAAAACTGAAGCAAAACCTTGTCACCAGCAACAAAAATGAGAAAGGGATTAAAAACAAAGACCATGTTTGCATGTCATATGAAACCATCATCTGATTTAAAGAATTGGGAACAAACTTCGGCCACATACACACCGAACATGTAAAGTACATTCAAAGCACTTTCCCCGACCACACAAAGAATCCTGGGAACTGCAGTTTTAAACATCAGACACAGGAAAGGTGGCTAGTTTGTCCGAAACAGCCTGTCCAATCTGTGAAGCCTGGTGGACTTGGTGAGGCCAGCAAGCTGGAAGTTTCTCACTCCTACATTAAACTATGGTTTCGCATGATATGCACAAGCAAAAACAAACCACAACTAGCTTTGGTCTTGTGCACCCCCCATTTCCTCCTCTTCTATGACCAGGGTAAATTCAGAAGCTTTTGTTTCTGCTTTTCCAACACTGAGCTTCTTCACATTGTCATTTTATGTGTTATTATTATAGGTTCAAACTATGGCTTGCGATGCAACTAACCACAGTTAATGTTAACCACAATTCTAGTGTAGTTAAGCAGAAACTGTTAAGAGGAAACAAAAGCTTCTGAACTTGTTCTGTAAGAAAGTCTAAATAACTAGTCTGCAAAAAATGTTTACTAGCCTGCTGGGAGCTGAAAACAGCTTGCCACATTTCTATGCTGAACAAGGAGGAGGCGGCTTTCGCCCTCTGGTAGCCCTGCTTGGTTTCTATGCCAGACACAGGCAAAGGCAGAGCACTCTATCCTTCCTCTGCACACAATTCATTGCATGTCTGCTAAGCTGGTGCTAAAATACAAGGCTAATACAGTACCTGCTTCAATCTATCAATGGGTGTGAGGCTGCAGGACACAGGATGTCACACATTCTACTCCCCAGATTCTTCCATGCCTCTGAAGCTGCAGAGACCTCTGTCAAGTTATGCTCTAGTTTCCTGATACATTAGATTACACCACAAATATTTACCTGAAAAACCAGGCAATTCCTTGCTCTAGCAATTATACCAATTTCTTCAAGTTCCTTTGTATAAACAGATCTGCTGACAATCTTGTCATTAACAAGGAATTCAGATCCACTGCCTAGTTTTGGAAGAAAGAGCAGATTATACAATCCATCCATTTTGAAAGAGATAATGACTACTCAAGCCAAGAAAACAGTTCATTACTTTCTGACGTGGTCTTTAGTTCTGAACTGTTACCAGATCTGCTCTTGCACTAGTGCATGCATTCACATGTATGCTCGTGTTACACACAGATGGCAAAAAGCTTAGAAGCATGCCTTCGAAAATAAGTAGGGAGCATCAAAGCCAAACAAGTTGCTTGTTATGGATCTCAGGAGGAACCAGGCGTCTTCCTAAGCAATGGGAGGCAAAGCCTGTTGTCTCACCATTCCTGTGAGACCCAGGTCATCTACTAGCATTCCAGAAAAACCAACAAGAATGCCTTGTGTCATGGGTCTTCTTTTAACTGTACTGGGTTCTCCCAAACCTTTTACTGTGATTGAAAACATACAAATATTTCCTTCCAAGCTGGATACTGTCTGGTGCCTTCCCAAGAAAGTCTCAAACGTGAAACAACAAATGTGGCTTAGAGGCAAGGGAATCCAGAAGGTGGAGGTAAGTGGGGAGACATTGCTAGACACTACACTAAGTGAAAGTATGTAAGGAGAAGGTGCTCATAACCTGCAGCTTTGCAGTGCATGACCAGACAAGACTGACATTAATGGCTTAACCGAGTGATGGGGACCAATATATCAATCCAAAACTGGTTTTGAAGTCCATATCATAATGGTTTCATAAAATGTCACCTGGCAAACATCCCAATTTTGGGGAAACCATGTAGCCAGCTAGTGATTCTTAGCGCTTCCGCTGCCTCCTGAGGGCAGCGAGTGACTCACAAGAGTAGGTGTAGCAGCCTTCACAACAGGCTCCCCACCCCACCCCCCATTCTGCAGCGAGCAGCAGCTCAGCTCCAATGCCTGCTGCAGAGGCAACTAATCACAAGAGCAGAGGACACTTAGAAAGCAGCTGGGAAAGCAGTAGCCAGCCAGCCAGCAGCAGAAACTTAGCAGACACCTGAGGTTCTGCTTGCTTAAAGTAGGGCTGGCGGGCCAGGCTGGTAGGTGTTATTTAGAGATGCTGCTCTGAGCTGGCTTGGGGCTTCTTGCTGAGAGCCCCTTTCCCTTTTGCCCCTTCCTTACCCACCATGAAAAAAGAAACTGGTTGTTTTCTTCAGAGTAAGAGGGGAAAAAGTTGCCCTGTTATTTAAGACTCTTTCTCTTTTCTCCCCTTCTATGTGTGTCCTTGTGTCATTTCTCTCCCCTTCCTGGTGCCTTTAATGCCCATCTGAGGCTGGGACAGAACCCCCTTTCCCCCTGTGTAAAATTAAGACGTTTGTTGGCCCTAAATAGCTTCCCTCATATAAACAAAAGGGAAAGAAAGAAAGAAAAAGCTTTTTGCCTGCTTGTCCTCCCTTTGGTGGGATGGAGGCTGGGAGGGGGGAGGCGCTTGTGTGTCACAATAGGGGGAAATGGAGGGGGTAAGATTTAACACTGACTGCCTTATGCTGAAATGAGAATTAGGCAGCTGAGCCATCAACATTTGCAAGGTGTTAATCTCTGTGATAGGTCTGCTTTCTACTGTCAAATTCCTTTGGCCCCAGAAGTCGTTAACAGCTAATCACTGAGATATTCACATTTAGGCACACCAGACAGAAGTATAGTATTAATATGAATTTATAATCCACCTTTCTACAGAAGTACATAAGGTGGTTTACACACAACAGACACAGTACAAAATAAGATAAACGTACACCCTAAAAACAAGACAAAAAGCAACCTAAAAATAAGAACAAGCAAAATCAACAGCAGTTAAAAAGCAAGCTATTTTAAAATTTAAAGTAATTATATATTTAACCATACAAATTAGCTTAAAAGCTTCTATGTATGTGGCTGATTATGCTAATGTATTTTATTTTTTTCTATAATTACTTCTTAAAATAAAAACATATATAATGAAAAGCTTCTATATATATTTTCCATATAAACTTCATACCCACTATTTAGAACAGGGGTCAGCAAACTTTTTCAGCAGGGGGCCGGTCCTCTGTCCCTCAGACCTTGTGGGGGACCAGACTATATTTTTTGGGGGGGGAATGAACGAATTCCTCTGCCCCACAAATAACCGAGATGCATTTTAAATAAAAGCACACATTCTACTCATGTAAAAACACGCTGATTCCCGGACGATCCGCGGTCTGGATTGAGAAGGCGATTGGGCCGGATTGGGCCCCTGGGCCTTAGTTTGCCTACCCATGATTTAGAAAAACTCCACTCACCTCGAATAATTCTTGAAAATGTTTTCTCTTCCCCATTTTCCTCCATGTACACCATTTTTACACTTCCAGTAGATGAAACCGGCTTCCCGATATGTGCTCCATGTATCAGTTCTTGGATGTGCCTCACTCTCAAATTAGATGTCTTCTCACCCATTACAAAACTAAGTGCATCCATTACATTTGATTTCCCTTCAGTTGTATAAAAGATCAAAATATTACCCTTTTCAAATATAGTTTAGATAATCACAAGTATCTTTATTTTCATTTCAGATCAGATGTAAGAGACTCTTAATTCAAAAACTTCCCTTTAAACTAAGATATTTTTATCCATTGGCACGGCCTTGACAGTCTGTACTAAACTTTAGACAGTATGTATGTCTAAACATGTCCAACAGAGTTTCTTGGTTCTATGGGTTGGGCATCATCTACCCGAATTTAGGGGGAAATGAAGTTATTCTCAGATTCCTTTCTATCCTCTTTTTTTAAGGGCATAATTTAATGAGGTTAGCCAAGCTTGAAAGTTAATTTTCATCACACACTCCATAGTGGGTAACCCAACTTTTTGAAGAGCTGAAAGGCAGATTTGATGACTTCTATTTCATTTGCCTAGCCAAAGTTCAAGAATAACAATGAAGGCTTGCTGTATACATGATGATATGAAACCTTGAGGGCATGTCAAAACCATTAACAATACTAAATGAACCATAACAACAAAAAAAGCTTAAAATATTGTGTGGTGTGATAAAACTTCTGACTAATATCTGATTCATACCAGGCAAAGAATCATGACTCGTGTATCACCACAGCTATGTTTTATCTCCTAGTTGTGAGAATGAACTCACAGGCATTATTTTTATGTTAGATTATAAACAGACCTAGTATAATTCCACAATTTAGCACACACTTCTACGCACATTTTACTAAGCCATATTGAACTTTAATCAGATTTGCTATCAGCCATAGATACAGTTTGAAACAGTTTTGCACTGTACTTTTATGACTAAAAACCACTAGAACGGGTAACAGGAGACTATATAACTCAGGTTTCTTCTTTATAATACATTTTTATACCTCTAGATACACAAATAAGGAGGCAATTTCTGAAATAGTGCCTCACACAGCAATTCCCACAGAGTGTGGGGCACCATACTGGTGCAAGCAAGAGATCACCAACATGACACCTGCTGGGGTCTCTCTGCCTCCCTGCCAGCGCCTCCTCAACCACCCACTAAAGTTCTCATGGAACATCCCTTCCAAATCCCACAATGCATGCGAGTCTGCTCACTCTTCCTGCCCAGTTCATGTACTGTAAAGATGTGAAGGTCCATTAAAAAAGTGGAAAATGTGGTGTCCCCCATTTTTTCAGAAAAAAATGGAGCCCCCCTGACCATTTTCCTATTTGTTTTCCTTCAACATCTCTAACCTCTCCTGTGCTGAGCTTGCTCTCTTAATCACACTCACATTTCATTAAATTTCAGAGCTGGAGACACTTTCCTCCTGTTCTGAATGGATGAGATCGGCAAAAAGGGCCTTTTTGTGAGCAAGCACAGTTGTGGCTGCTAGAGGTACCTTTGCCCCACTGATAGGGGGTGCAGGGGCACGCTTGTACCATTTTGCTGTACTCTTTCTGCTCTTTTAGATGTGGCAGCCATTTTATGTTATGCCACACTGCATAGCCCAAAGCAGCCATTTTGTGACCGGAGCTCTCAAAATTCCAAATGTGCCTACTGACCAAAAAAAGTTGGAAACCCGTGAAACCCCATAAAACTGCTTCATTGATATGACACTGATAGATGCCTAATTTTAATATTAAATTATACTCTTTTCTTTCCCCTAATTTAGTCTTGAAGATTAGGAGTACAACATAGGATTTTACTAGTTTCTGATAACCGTAAGCACAAACAGCAAAGACTTCACTGTAGAAAACATTGAAATCATTACCACATACCCCCAAGTCTTGGTTTGGTAATTTATAGGGTAATTATATTATATAAGAGTTTTTTTCCTTCAGCACTATTATAAAAATTAATGATAAATTAATTTTAATAATAATTCGTAAGGGAAAAAACATGTATTATTTTTCTGTAACATATAAAAACCTGCCATAGCAGGTACCATCTTAGAAGAGACAGGAACTATCTCTTCTAAAACATTTTGAAATGAAAGCCACCTATAAGCTTACTCAGCTGTAAGTTAACTCCTCTTTTTGAGCCCCACTTTCTCTCTCTACAACATAAAATGAAGTATTACCTCAGTAATTAAGGTTGAATAAGCTTGTATTTTACTTTCTATTTTTAATATGAATTTAAGTATATAAGACAGCTCGTTTATGCTTAAAACAGAATTTAAGCATAGCATATGGGGAGGAAAGTAAGGGTCACAGAGTAGTTCCAGTGAAAAAAGGGAGAAAAGCACAGAGGATACCTCGGAAGAACTCAGAAGATTAAACATTGCAACCTCAGCCATGCATATGCCACCTACAGACTTAGCAGGTATATCATACTGGATATGAAGAATTCTATATTGGGGTAAGAATGGAAAGATCCTCAAAGGCATTATTGGTGGGGGCTAAAGGCTTTTCAAAGCTTGATATTTGAGTAACAGCCATTGTCTCACAAACTGAGAAACCTTCTGCAAACTTTCCCTAGAGGGCTAGTTTATTCAGCTTAGTTTACAATGGGTTATATTAATATAGATTAATCAATTTGGGTAGGCAGAACTACCGGTACATTCGACCAAATCAATTTTTAAAAATGTATTTCATTAAAACCATTTGTGAGCCACCTTTTAACATTCAAAGTAGCATACAATAAATCTTGCTTGGTACATCACAGACAACAAATAATACACAGGATAAACAGGAGAGAAGCCTGTCTGAATTGTTCACGTTACCTGAACCATTGGGACCAATGACACATGTGAATTTCTTGAACGGTCCTATGCATTGTTTCCCTTGCCATGATTTGAAATTTTCCACCATCAAAAGCTGCAAGTATCCCATCTATGGATTACAGGGAGGAGAAAATTATTTTTGAAAGAAAAATATATAGACAATTTCCCCTCAATAGTTAATAAACACTTTAAATAACAATCAAACACTGCAACCCTTTGAATATGAAAGTTGCTCAGTAGAAATTATATGGATAACTACCAGGGCTGCAGGCTAACACTGCTCACTTGGGAGTACGTGCCATTGAATTCAACAGGATATATTTCTGAAGAGACATAGTTAGGATTATACCATAAATCATTAATCCCATTAAATGGAGACCTTCCACTGTATTACACATAATAGTCGTAACATATAAACATTGCTGGAACAGGCAGGCCAGTAGCTATGCATTAATTTAATAAATACGGTAATAATAATAATAATATAAACTGCTATTGATATACATTCTCCATGTTCCCATATTCCCCTTAATATAAGCACAGCTTAAAGGCACGAATTTAATAAATAATAATGAAGGCAACTGCCCTCTCCAACCAAACTGACCCTACTAAACTGCCACTCAACACAGCCCTCCACAAACTCCACTGTAGCTGCCACTGTATCATCCATGAATTTGTCTACCGTATTTTTTGCTCTATAAGACTCACTTTTTCCCTCCTAAAAAGTAAGGGGAAATGTGTGTGCGTCTTATGGAGCGAATGCAGGCTGCGCAGCTATCCCAGAAGCCAGAACAGCAAGAGGGATCGCTGCTTTCACTGCCTAGCAATCCCTCTTGCTGTTCTGGCTTCTGAGATTCAGAATATTTTTTTCTTGTTTTCCTCCTCTAAAAACTAGGTGCGTCTTGTGGTCTGGTGCGTCTTATAGAGCGAAAAATACGGCAATTCCCGCTTTAACACGTTTCTTGCAGCACCATCCTAACCACGCCTACCCAGAAGTTAAATCCTTTGAACCCAGGTGAGCAGGGGCTGCAGCCTAAGTAATATTTTTAACAAGTCAGTGACAATACAGTACTCAGCACCCGATAGTTACATTACCAACATAGTTAATAAAATAGGTGCCATATAACATTACTATATATAAGTAAAATTAAGTAAAACTGTAGAGTTGGACGGGACCTCGAGGGTCATTTAGTCCAACCACTGCAATGTAGGAATCTCAAGACTGTGTGTGTGTAGATAAAAATACAGATATGCATACACACACACACACACACACACACATATATATACTGTATATATTTACAGTGATGCGTGTGTGCTTTTTTAATACAGGTGGAGATAACGTAACCTGCTTTGCCCACACCCTCATGTTCAAAATATATGTGTAATAATATAATCTAACATCCAGGTGGCGCTAAACATATTCAAACGGGGAGTTCAAAAAGAAAATAAGTCTCATTTTTTAAAAGAAAAACCACGATAAAATCATACAAAGCAAACAAGCACAGAGCTGAGGGAGCCCCGAGGGTCTCCTCGCCCCAGGATTTTGAACGGGAGAAGAAGACCACCTTCTCGCCCGGATGCCGCCTCACAGGTCCCTCTCTATCGTCTCTTCCTAGAGCGTCTCTTCTCACACCGGCCCGCTTTTCATAAGGGAACAAAATCTCGCGAGAGTCCCAAGAGAGGGGCGGGGCAGTTCGACGAGCTTCGCCGAAATCGGAACGGAAGCCCCGCCCCGAGTTTAACAGCTCTTTTTTTGAGGGCTGCGCGCGCAGAGAGCCCGGGGGCGGTGTTTCCGCTTCCGAGTAGCGCGGGCGCTGAAGTTGCGCCGCCCGAGGGCCGTGGCGAGAGCCGCGAAGGTGCGGCCGGTGCTGGACTCCGGAGAGCGGCTGGCCAGGCGCCCGGAGGCGGCAGGACGAGGGAATCACTTCGCCGCAACTTCGATTTAGTTGCGAAATTATTTAGCGTTTATTGATTGAATTGCTCCATGCAGTTCAATGGCGCAAATAACAAAGTACATAAGTCAGTTACGCGCTACAATCTTCTCGTTATTACAAGCGGTAAATCAATACACACTATAAAGATAAATCAGTTATGCACCATAATACATGCACTAAATATATGAAATGAACCCTGGAATTCTATCCCTGACTGAAAATTAGGTTGTACTAGAAGAGTAACCTTTAATTTTACTTTAAAAATGCTTTGTCTACTGTGGTATAAAGTACGAAGATGCAGGTTTTAAAAAACAAACACTTCATCTAATGCGTTGAAACAGTATTTCATTATGTTCCCTTTGGCCGAAGCGAGTCCAGCCTCTGACCTCTCCGTGGGGGAGAAGGCGAGCCCCGCCCCCCGTGGGCAGGAGGAGCAGCGCGCCGCTTGCCTCCGAGACACACGTGTAGCTGACCCTGCAAAGCCTTAAAAAGTCACGTAAGAAACTCGGAAGCGCGCTCGACTCAGACATCGGGAGGAGCACAGCGTCGCTCTAGCCTGCGCGCGTCTATGGTGAAACCCCCCCCCTGTGTTTTGGTCCGAGGGGGATTCACCGGAAGTACCAGTAAGGAAGAGGGCGGCGTGTTCTTCACAGAGTGAGGCGCGAGAGGAAGCGCGATGGTGAGACGGGGTGGGCGGAGCCAAGAGGGAGGCGTGGCTTATGGGGCAAGGCGGTCCTTGGAGCGGAAGAGAACCTGGCTGAGGGGCGCGGCCTGTTTCCCTTGGCAACCGCGCGTTGTTGACATCCTCCTTAGCATCCCCCGGAGGAGGAGAGAAGGCGAGGTGGGGGGGGGGGGGAAGAGTTGCTTTGGATGTAACTCCAGCAGATCATCTCATATATATTTATATGCATATAGCTTTAATTCAATTAATGTTTAATGCTTTTTTAACGAGTGTTTCCCACCCCCTATATTTTTAGCTTCTGCTATTATATCTCTCAGGGGCGAAGAAGGGTTATAAATAAATATCACACACAAACACAAATTTATTATACACGCGCGCAAACATATAAGTGGCAATTGTTGCTTTGCCATTTGCAGGTTTTTAGACGCGCCTCCTTCCTCCCCCATGGCGCAGAAGCTGGACTACCGCCAAGACCTGGCCGAGGACGCTGCCCTCCAGCGGAGGCGCTACCGGGAGCTGCAGAGGCAAAGCCGGGTGTTCGACGCCAGGGTCAGGACCATCGGGGTAAGCGTGCGGGAGAGGGATGTGGGGGAATAAATAATAGCAATAACAATAATAATTCTGGTCCTGTAGGTAGAGTGCCTCTAGCAATGGGCAGAGTGACTCCTGGGAAGGGGCAATGGTTCCTTTTAGGACATCTAGACCAAAGTGTTGATTTAAGTATCCTGTCTGCAAATTTCTGAAATTGGAATGTCAAAATTGATTTTACTGAGGATGTTGGTTCTTGTAGCCTGATCAATACAATCATGAAATAAATGGTACCGCAATGTCCCAATGAGCAGCATAAAACTTTTTCAGATGACTTGTAACTCTTCTTGCCAATTCCCTCTTGCAAATGTTATGAATAATCCACAGAAATATTTGGAAAACACTGTGGAAAATAATTTAAAAACATAGACATTCCTTGAATTATTAGGATATTTTCTTTCTGATATTGTATAACTCACATCACCAACTACTACTAAGACTGCTATTTATCTCTCCCAATTTTATTTATATTTACCTTTATTTTCATTTGTAATCTTTTGTTAATTACTGCTCATTTATCATATCTACAAATGCAATGAAGACATTGAATTTACAAAAGCTTGGTCACTACCTGAGCAATGGTGATTAGACAAAAGTCCTCTCAGTGAACTTCATGATTAAAGAAAATGCCATGCTTTATCACTAGCTGTAATTACTCTGATAACAGAGTAATATTGTAGTTCCCAAAGCAAGTATGTCAAGTGTTAGTGGCATGCTCTTAAAAATCTATGTAGAGTCATGTTTAGACATTTGAGGGCAATGCTTGGATAGACGCTTCTAAAGGCAAGTAAATAATGTGTTTAAGGACAGAAATCTCTTACTAATACAGTGGTACCTTGGGTTACATAAGCTTCAGGTTACATACGCTTCAGGTTACAGACTCCGCTAACCCAGAAATAGTACCTCAGGTTAAGAACTTTGCTTCAGGATGAGAACAGAAATCGTGCTCCGGCAGCGCAGCAGCAGCAGGAGGCCCCATTAGCTAAAGTGGTGCTTCAGGTTAAGAACAGTTTCAGGTTAAGTACAGACCTCCGGAACGAATTAAGTACTTAACCCGAGGTACCACTGTATATTGTTTGTTTGTTATGTAGGGTGCTCACAGTGAACACAGTTGTACTCTCAGTATGAACCCAAGTCACTCAGTAGGGGATGTGAGCACAGGTCTCCCTTATCCCATTCCAGCATTCTGTAACACACTGGTTCTCACTGGAAATGTACATGTTTTCCTTGTTTTCCAGAATGCGTGCTTAAAGTAAATACGTTGGATACATAATCAGATGAACACAAGTCTTTATTTTCAAGCTAGTGTCTTGAGTTTGCAAAATATATTAATATCCCTTTTACTCCTGTATAGAGAACTTATAATGACATCCTATACTAGGAAAGGATTAGTCTTGGAGCAGTTACATGGATAATCTGATCACTAGTTCATTTCTAAATGCTTTATCTTGAATAGCAGTTTCTGTATTGAAGTTAGCCCTGCATAGTTTTGGTAATAAAGTAATTTCTTTATAATTTATACATTTGAACCAGTTTTGTGGTGGGCTTTTTTTTAACTACAGGTTGACACGGAAGCTTTGGATGCTCAAATCAAAGACAGAAAGATCCAAGAAGCAACTCAGAGGGCATATGATGACACCATTGGTATATTTGTTAATAGTTTTAGATCAGTAATTTATCAAACAACTATCAAAATTTGTTCTCTTACTATTTTCTTCTTAAATAACACCTTACATTTTCTATGACTCTTCTGCTGTGAAGATGGAAGTCATGAATTGCCAACGTTATATAAGATTAACAGCACAATCCTATACCCCTCCACCCAGGGCTAGCTGTGGGCAGGATTCGTGCATTGGAGGGGGGTTGGACTAGATGACCCTTGGTGTCCCTTCCAACTCTACAATTCTATGGTTCTATGTCTACTTGGAAGCAAGTGCCATTAAGTGGGACTTAACCCCAGGTACATGGAAGAGGTACATATGTCTTTCTGTTGCAACTCCTACTGGCTGGAAACTAGGTGTGTTTTTACAGCCAGTAGGAGTTACAGCCAGAAAGACATACGTTCACCACAAACTTAAACAAGTCTAATTGTTATTTCTTTCCCCAGGGAATTATGGGAACTGTTGTTGTGTGAGTTCTTATTGAGAATACTCACCAAACTCCCATTCCATGATTCTTTGGGAAGGCATCAAAATTACACTGGCGTAAATCCATTATAAATTTGTAGTAGAGATATACCCAATGTAGCACCAATGCAAATTAGAGCCTGCTTACTGTTGCAGGCCACCGCAATATCCGAGTGGTGCAAGATTACAGGGGCGGTGTTTCCTTTGGACCAAGGTACAGCAGGGGCTGAGGTGCCTTTACGATATATGGTTTATTTACACATATATACAACCTGAGCCTACATCACTCTAACTCTCTGGTTTCCGAGCCTGTTGCTTCCCACTTCTAGATTCTAGCTCAGATCACTTCCATCTGGCCTTTAGCCTTTCTAACTAACAGCCAGTTGAGGGGTGGTGGCCCACCCATTTGTTATCTGGCACAGATCCACTTGGTTTGTTCATTTAATGGCCCATGGCCTAGACTGTCACTTCACCAGGAATTTGAATCATTGCTTATCATAGAATAATAGAATTGTAAAGTTGAAAGTTACCCTATGGTCATCTAGTCCAACCCCTGCAATGCAGAAATCTCAACTAAAGTATCTGTGACAGATGGCCATCCAACCTCTGCTTCAACCAACCTTCTGATGTTTAGTCGCAATCTCCTTTCTTGTAACTTGAAGCCATTGGATTGAGTCCTACACTCTGGAGCAGGAGAAAACAAGTTGCTCCCTCTTCCGTGTGAAAGCCCTTGAGATATTTGAGGATGGCTATCATATTTCCCCTCAGTCTCCTCTTTTCCAGGCTAAACATACATTCAACTATTCTTCATAAGACTTGGTTTCCAGTTCCTTGATCAACTTGGTCACCCTCCTCTGCACATGTTCCAGCTTGTCAACATCCTTCTTAAATTGTATTGCCCAGAACAGGACACCATCTTCCAGGTGGGGGCTGACCAAGGCAGAATAGAGCTGTACTATGACTTTCCATGATCTGGACACTATACTTCTGTTATAGTGCCTATAAAGTGTTATATTTTAACATTTGCTGGATCCAGGGATTAGAAGATTCCCCCAACTCAAAATACTACAAATATGTGTAATAGAATTCTAGTGACCGTTAGAAAAAGGAAAGAAGAGGAGCTTCAGAAGGGAAACTTAGCCTTTCTCCTGCCTGCTGTTACCTCAGTCCTAGCTGGCCCCACCCCCACCCCTCTTGTGGACCAGGTATTTACATATCCATGTGTGCATTTTGAACCTCACAGGTTGAAAATCAGCCAAGGCAGCAAGGCCTTTTGGAGTAGAAATATGGCAGATTACCTGATAACTCACTTACCTGAGTAGACATGATTAGAATTGCATCCTTACTCTTTTCATGCTCCCACTTTTCTCTGTAGCTCAAATATTTGCATATTTCTACACCAAAACAAGTTGGTTCAATAAAAAGAATGGTTCTTTAGCATTTTTTAAAATAAGGAGTGATCCAGTTGACCACATGGGGAACTCAAAAATACTGAGGATTCTGAGACTTCTTTTCCTACTGCAGTGCAGAGCCAGTGTGGTGTAGTGGTTAAGAGCGGTAGTCTCGTAAACTGGTGAACTGGGTTCACTTCCCCGCTCCTCCACATGCAGCTGCTGGGTGACCTTGGGCCAGTCACACTTCTCTGAAGTCTCTCAGCCCCACTCACCTCACAGAGTGTTTGTTGTGGGGGAGGAAGGGAAAGGAGAATGTTAGCTGCTTTGAGACTCCTTAAAGGGAGTGAAAGGCGGGATATCAAATCCAAACTCCTCCTCTTCTTCTTCTTCTTCTTCTTCTTCTTCTGCATGCAATTCCACTGAAAAAGATCCCCCCCCCCAACCGGGGGTGGCATGTGCTTCAGAGCAGCAGCCTGTGGTACAGAAGTGTGAAGAATGGTAGCTGGAAGCCACGCTGCATGCATACAACGGGCACCCTGGCTCCTTTGGGAGGAGGGTGAGATATACATTTAATAAAGAAAAAGTTTGGAGACAGCTCAAAGACATTTGGTGCCAAAAGGCATCTCTCACTTATCTGCATGGTGGTAAAAATGTTAGAGCATTTGCAGTCTGAAATTGACTCTCTGGAGCAGGCTGTCTCACCCTCCTAACAGCTGGCATAACCCTACATGGAACCATCAGAAATGTGCACATACAAGTCTTTGGATGCTGGTCAACAAGTTTGTAATTCTTTTATTGATAAATAGTTAAAAAGAGTATATGTTTCATCTGGGTTGTGAATGAGACTTTTTTCCTTTTTTTAATCCAGCTGCTGAAATGAAACAAAATGACAAAATCCTCTGCATCTTAGATGAACGGCAGAAAAGAGACTCTCAGATTCTAAACAAAGCTGTCAATGAATTTCGCCAAACTTATCAGCAGCCAGAAACACGGCGTGAATTTGATTTGTCTGACCCACAAGCCCTAAAGAAAGATACTCCAGCTCGTCTCGCAGACAGTGACCCTCGATGTACCATATCTGGCTTGCAGAAGTTTATGGGAGAAGATTTGAACAGTGAGAATAGGTGGAAATTCCAGAAGGAGCAAACAAGGGAATGGCTTTTGCAACAACAAAAAGATTGGGAGAACGCACTGGCAGATAAAAAATATGCTGGTAATAAATTAACCTAGATTTTTGAATTTGTTTTGAAAGTTATATCTCAGGTAGCTGGCCAAACAGTCGTCAAGTTGTTCAGCTGCATGCCAGACAAAAGCATTCCTACATATTTTTATTTAGAACACTTCTCCCTGACATACTAGTTTTGTTGCCTTTTTGTGGTTTTTTTGGCTGGAATACATTTCAGTTTTGTCAGCCCTAATCCACAGTCTGGAGCAGTGGAGCAGTTCAGTACCTATTTACTGGGAATAAGTCCCATTGAAATGAGTGGGATTTACCTAAGAGTAGACATTCATTGGATTGCAGAATCATATGCATGTGATGCGTATTAATTGGAGGGAGAAAGCTGGATCTAGGGCTTAGAGAAGTTACTGGTTTGTCAGGAGAGCAGGGCAAATGAATTGGGTTGTGTAAGGTGAACGTGGAAACTTGAGTCCAAGGAATAGGCAGAAGCAACAGAATGAGACAATAGGTGTCCCCCCCCCCCCCAGTTATACTGATTTACATGTGTACACGTGTCCAATTCTGTTTCACTAATTTAGATGATCTCCATGACCAACACAGAATGGAACTTGATCAAAAGGCTGTGAACCTTCAAAGAATAGATGAAGAAACAAGACGAGCCATTTGCATCACTACTACAGAATTTAATAAAGCTCTGGTAAATCAGTATTAAAAGGGAAAAGAAGATGAACTATTATTTTCCAAGTTCAGTGTAATATAGTGTAACAAAGAAGACACTGAAAAAACATTTCAGAATACTTAGACATCCTCTAGAGACATACTTTATTTTATTTATGAATCTGTTCCCATAAAACATCTCAAAGCAATTTAACAATAAAACATACATAAAAACAGTTTCATAGAATCATATAATTGTATAGTTGGAAAGGGACCCAAAGGTCATCGTCCAACCCCGTGCAATGCAGGAATCTCAGCTAAAGCATCCCAAGACAAATGGCCATCCAACATTTTCGATGGAACAGGCTATTCTTATGGAATGTTTTCAGGGCCCTTTCGGAACCAAACAATCCCCATTCAGTTTCTGCAAAAAGACTTCCTTCAAATGTACAAATCACTGTCTTTTCCCCCTCCCCCCCCCCTTGGAAGTGGTCAACCTTTTGTTCCTGGAATAAAACTCAGGACTTCTAAGGGATAGGGGGACAAGTCCTCCGCAGGCCTGTGGGAAAACTCCCATTCCAAGTGAATCCTGCATGACTTAAGAATTGGCTCGTATTTTATGATGAATGATTCCAGTAAGAGAAAGAACCAACAACAGTGATATCTGACATTTGGTTTGCTTGACTTTTTGATGTTTAAATCATTGGTTTATTCTGGCTCAGCTTAGGAAGTTCCCTCCAAAATAAAGTGGGGTTTAATGAATTATGAGCAGATTTTAATTTTTTTAAACTTTAGTCTCTTAAACTTTTAGTTGGCCCTTCTGCATTTTATTTATTTATTTATTTCATCTGGTTCTTTCCTATCTTGTTTTTAAGCTGTGGGTGAGTTTTGATTCTTCTCTTTCTGTTTTTCCACTTGTTAGACTACTACTAACTCTTGTCAGTTAGTGAATCTTGTCTGTTTTGGCCCATTCTAATCTTTGAGAGTTTTACCTTGTCACTTCTCTTCCTTTGATTTGCTTATTGATTTGCTGCTTTCCCATCTTGTTCCTCTTTCTTCTGTTGTTTTATTTCTTTATAGTATTTGCATACCACTTTTCACAACTTTAGGGACGTGGGTGGCACTGTGGGTTAAACCACAGAGCCTAGGTCTTGCCGATCAGAAGGTTGGCGGTTCGAATCCCCGCAACGGGGTGAGCTCCCGTTGCTCGGTCCCTGCTCCTGCCAACCTAGCAGTTCGAAAGCACATAAAAGTGCAAGTAGATAAATAGGTACCACTCCGGCGGGAAGGTAAACGATGTTTCCGTGCGCTACTCTGGTTTGCCAGAAGCGGCTTAGTCATGCTGGCCACATGACCCGGAAGCTGTACGCCTGCTCCCTCGGCCAGTAAAGCGAGATGAGTGCCGCAACCCCAGAGTCAGCCATGACTGGACCTAATGGTCAGGGTTCCCTTTACCTTTACTTTCACAACTTTAGAAAGCAGTTGACAGTGCACTTCAGAAATACAATAACTAAAATCAATAAAATAGCAAGATTAATTTTTTCAATTGAGTAAAAACAGTCAGCAGCAGGATGGTTACCTCTGATTCTCATCCTCTTGTGTTTCTCTGTTCTATGTTGGCTCCCTTTTCCTCAGTTCATTTAGTCCAATTCAGTTGCTAATGTTTCCATTCTTAGGTCTTCCTTATTTATCTTTCTATCTTGATTCTCCTGTGAGCTGAAGAGAAGGGATTGTAGTAAAGTGTATTAGATAACATAACAATATCATGCTGTACTCATTAAGAACTGTGCATGGTTTAACAAGGTAAATCTTTTGGAATAATTAATAGGGTTTGCTGTTTTTCTGAGTTTTTCCTACAACAATGTCTTTTTTAAGGCTGCTGACATTGCATCAAGAAGACAACTTGAAAAGCAGCAAGAAGACGAAGATAACATAGCTGAGATTTCAAATCTGCTTAGAGGAGACCTGCTCTCTGAAAACCCACAGCAAGCTGCCAGTTCCTTTGGTAACGGTCGAGTGATTCCTAACCGATGGAAAGGAATGAACCAAGATCAGCTGAAAGAAATACGTGACGTTCAGCTGCAACAAGTTCTGGAGAAGCTGGTATTCACTTTCATATTGCCACTGTGCTACAGTAGAAACTTATGAATCCTCTTTTGAAATAGAATGTTTAAAAAACACAAATACTTAGTTGCTTTTCACCAGTTTTCCAGAATTCATTGTAAGAACTACCGTATTTTTCGCTCTATAACACGCACCCAACCATAACACGCATGTAGTTTTTAGAGGAGGAAAACAAGAAAAAAAATATTCTAAACGAAACAGTGGATGTATGATTCTTGTGGTTCATGCTGTGGCCACAGACATGTGATCTGACAGTGAGTTTGGAGTAGCCCAACGCAAAAATCCTGAGGATCCATGTGGATCCATGCTTTGTAACCACGTTTTTGCACCACTGCGGCGCCAGGCAACAGTGGGTGCATGATTTTTTTGGTGCAAGATGTAGCCATGGACATGCTATGTGATCTGATGGTGAACTTGGGGTGACCCGGTACAAAAATCCTGAGGATCCATGTGGATCCGTGCTTTGTAACCACGTTTTAAGTGGGGAGGAAAGGAAAAGCACTCAAGGGACAAGGAGCACGTGTGGGGTGGGTGGAGAAGGATGCTGCTAATAATGCAGAAGAGGGGTTTAAGGGGAGAAGGAACATGCGTGGGGTGGGTGGAGAAGGATGCTGCAAATAATGAAGAAGAGGGGTTCAAGGGGAGAAGGCTCCTCTCCTCTCCCGCTTTGCTCCTTTAAAGCAAGCAGGCTCTGCTTTTCTCCCTCCTCCCCGCTCATCCCCGGCTTAGTGAGCTGAAAAACTTTGCTGCTATTTAGCTAGCTGAGTGGGGAGGAGAGAGGGACAGAGAGCCTGCTTGCTTTAAAGGAACCAACCGGACAGGAGCCGCTTACACTCGTGTAAGCGGCTGCTCTCCCCTCCCGCTTTGCTCCTTTAAAGAAGCAGGTTCTCTGTCCCTCTCTCCTCCCCACTCAGCGGCTCTTCTCCCGCTTTGCTGTTTCAAAGCGAGCCACGAAGGAGGGAAGGAAGGGGAACCATGGATCCTCTGCTCACGACTGCAGCAGATCCCCCCCCGCCACCTGTAGACATTCCCTCCATAACACGCACAGACATTTCCCCTTACTTTCTAGAAGGAAAAAAGTGAGTGTTATGGTGCAAAAATTACGGTAATTCACACTTAACATCATTGCCACCCTGACCACACAATTATTTTGGGATTGCACAGGGACACTTGTTTTTTAAAAACAGTGTAACATATCAAGAAAAATATAATTCCATAACTTTGATCATCATTACTATTCCTTCATAAAATCTACTAACGCTACTCTGTAATGATTAAAACTACAAAACAATTACATAATCTATCCACATTAACCAACACCATAGAGGCTAGTGGTGCAGGGCACCAGGGAAGAGGCAGAGGCTGGATGTGGTGCCTCCCGGCATCAGCTTGCCCGCCTCTGCCATGCTGCGCCAAAGCAGCGCCGCGTCCAGAGCCTCCGTCTGCTGTGACCACCGCAGCACAAAGTGTCCAGCTGAGTTGGGAGGCACCACGTCCAGCCTCTGCCTCATTCCCGCCAGAGGAGCTGCCCCCCTGGCACTGCCTGCCTCCTCCAGCCCCGCTGGCAGCGCCGTCCTCCCTAAAAAACTCTGGGAAACGGGGGGGGGGGCGCCGGAGGGAGCTTTGCACCATGCGCTGGATATGCCCTACCAATGACTTCATTATTTTCTTAACAACCTTAAAAATGAAATTATGCTTCATCCGCTCAGCCCAATTCAGGCTGCAGTCCCGTAGCTGGCCAGAGTCTGGCTGAAAGGCCTGTGTAATTTGTCAGCAGAGTGGTCCATACATCCCTGTGCGAGCCCCTGATACACCTGTGTGTGTCTGTGTGTCTTTGCATGTGAAGACTGGGTGTGCCACGGACAGCCTTGGAGTTGAATCCCCTTGTTCCTCTGACATGTTTCCCCAAAGCACCAAGAACTCTGTAAGCCCTGAAACTTGAGAAGATGATTGATGTCAGTGGGTGGGAACCTTGAAATTGTACATGTTGGTACAAGGAAGAGAAGGGAAAAGGCTGCCCACACCTCTCATCTCAGCTGCATTGATCTAGCAAGGCACAGAAAGCAGATCTCCTGTACCTCCATAGGTGTGTATTAGAGTGCATTCTCTTCTTAGCCTCGGTCACCAAAGATGAACACCACCAGCAGGGGAGGCCCAAACTGTGCCCAGATGGACAGAAAGCTAATGCATTTAATTTGACCAACTCTTAATTTCGTGTTTCATAATTGTGTCTTTCCCCCCTATATTGTGCAATTAAAATATGTACAGCTATTTATAAATAACAGTTCTCTTTCCTGTTACTGTACTGATCCTACCTCTTCCAAATATCCTAAGATAATAATTACAGGAACTAATAGAGTTGTCTTTTTAACATTTGTCCTTAACTGTAACTAAAACTCCTATTTCATTGCACATTCCCACCAAACATGCAGTATGTCTACTCCTTGATAATTACATAATTAAGTATATTAGGGTTCATATGTTTATGTGGAGACATATGCTACTTGGCAAATATTTTATGTAAAGCTGGTAATGTCAGTTGCATGGATTTCTCTAAATGTATTTCCACATTCTGGGCCCTGTATAATTGTGCCTTTATGCCAGAGGCAGGCAACTTGCAACTCTCAGCATAACTATATGCAGATTTCAGTCATGGAAACTCACCAGCAATGGCCCTGATCTGCATCAGATCCAGCATAATTAAGACTGTGGGACCAGCACATTATTAGGTGGGTGGGTAGACTTCCTGCCTACAATGAGGACTGAGGAAGCAGTTTGATCAGAGTTCTGAGCTGTGGGCTTGAAATCCACTCTGCCACTGTCTTAGTTATCCCAACCCTGCCACCGGCATGTAGTCTGTTTAAACATAGAAGGCATGCCCAGCCCCATTTGCACACGTACATACATGCACACATACATACATGCACACACCATTTTGATTGTATGAGGATTGACCTAGTTAGGATTGGGGTGTTTCTGAATTGTGGCTGGCTATGAAGAAATAGGGACGCGGGTGGCGCTGTGGGTTAAACCACAGAGCCTAGGACTTGCCGATCAGAAGGTTGGCGGTTCGAATCCCTGCGACGGGGTGTGCTCCTGTTGCTCAGTCCCTGCTCCTGCCCACCTAGCAGTTTGAAAGCACGTCAAAGTGCAAGTAGATAAATAGGTACCACTCCGGCGGGAAGGTAAACGGCGTTTCCATGCGCTGCTCTGGTTCGCCAGAAGCGGCTTAGTCATGCTGGCCACATGACCCGGAAGCTGTACGCTCCCTCGGCCAAGAAAGCGAGATGAGTGCCGCAACCCCAGAGTCGGCCACGACTGGACCTAATGGTCCCTTTACCTTTACCTTTTATGAAGAAATAACAAGCATTTCCTTTTTGACATAGAGGTTGGAAGAAGAAGAACGTCAAAGAAATGCGGAGTGGGACAGAAAGCGCATTCAGGAAGCTAGGGCAGAAGTGCTTTTTGAACGGCATCAGCAGCGTCAGAATCGAGAGCTTCGGAGAACATTAGATAATCTTAATGCACAGCTCTCCCAGGAACAGAAGACAAGGTAAGAAGTGTCTATACCACGTACCTCATGTGCCTAGTCTGGTAAGCTATCATCTATACATATGACCATCTTCAGTCTCACCAGAAAATAGCAGGTATTGGTCAGGCCTGGTATAAAGGCTAGGAGCCTGGTTTTTGTTTTTAGCTGATCAATAGAGTAGTGTCTTCTGCTCGTTGTTCTTTAGGCTCAGGTTTCTAGTCTTTCCAGTTTAAAACCCTGATGTGGAGACACCCCCTTCTGGAGAAAGATCTGCCTGTAGACGGTCCTAGGTTCAGTCCCAAACATCTTCAGGTAGGGTTGGGTATGTCTCCTGGAGAGGGACTGCCAGTCGTTTTAGACACCACTGAGGTTGATGGACCCATGATCTGACTCTGTGCAAGGCATCTTTAAGAGTTTGGCAGAGTTATTCTGTTTTGATCAAACTGGTTGCACTTGGTCCAAAATGCTCATCCTACTGAAATTCCACAGAGAACTTGCTATTTTCTACATTCAGTGTTCCGTCATAATCTTTAAAAATAAGCATGCTAAGTTTTTACAAAATGTCAGACTTAACAACAATTACCTGTTGTCGTTCTATGATACCGTTGATGCTTTTGGTGACTACTTTACTTTGCATAGCAGTTATCTGAAGCGTAAGCAGCACACATGAAGAATGAACTTTACATTTTTATGAGAACTTTTATTAATTGAACATATTTATTTCCAGGCAAGCATATATTGATGAAGAGGTGTATTCAAATTTTCCTTCTGGCCAGTATTACACACAATTTAACACCACTAGCCGGTGATGTTTGGATCAATATTATCGAGTTGGATATATCCAAAAGGTTTGCAGAAGTACTTGTTTCAACTTCAAAACTGTAATAAAGAAAACAACATTAGTATGTTTTTTACCTGACATATGGATATTATGAAACTAAGCCTTTATATTGAGCAAGAGGATGGTGGATTCCAAAAGGAAATATTAATGCAGAAATAAAAAATGTACAGTGAAGTAATAGACAATATAATAGAACTTTTGCAGTTCTTAGTAAAAGTTGTTGATACTGCTATAATGCTTCTAGAAGAATTTATAGAAGAATTTTGTAGCCCCACCATTCATCAAATGATTCCAATGTCAGTTTCAGTAGAATAATCTAATGCTGCCCAATTCATAAAAACAAATACAAATTGAGCAAAATTTTGGGAAACAGTAAATTAAATGAATTGCTTAACAATTGTTCAGTGCACAAACACATCCATATAAGAATGTTTCTATATAACAGACTGTTTTTACAATGAAACTACTGACAGAAATATATGTTGCAGGAGACGGATAGTATGGAAAACAGCATTCCTATGTTGCGTTCTGCACTGTATCATATGGTATCACTTACCCCATATAATAACACCATCCCCTGTGCATTTCTCCACCTCCATTCCAAATCATTGGTTGCTACTGGCAGGAGTGGATAAGCAATATTATATGTTATGGAGGAAAACTTGAACAAAGGCATTCCCATCTCATTTGTGACATCCAAGCCTGTGCATAAAGATTCATTGAATGACCAAAGAACTCCACTAGTAGGACACACATAGTTGGTGCAACAGATTTCCCCTCTCCCTACTGCCCCCATCCCCAATAACCCAAAAATCTGCTTTAGAGATTTGGTGATCTTCTGAAGCAGATGTGGACAGAGGGGTCCATCAGGGTTGGAAAGGAAGAGGAAGAAGAAGAAAAGGAGGAAGAAGAAGAAGTCAGCTCACTTGACATTGAATGTTATCCAGAATATTCATCTCAACTAGGAAAAGTTTGTCCAAAATTTGTCTTCATGGTCTCTTTTCAGACTTTCACATGGAATTTTCTCCCAGGAGAAAACATCCATAAGCTTTCTAGAAAGTTATCGAACTCTGTCATGCTCAGAGTAGATCCACTGATATCAATGGATCTACTCTGAGTTTGACTTAGATACTATTTTATATATGTCTTGGGGAAGTACTGTGCCCCCTTGCTTAGTTGGGTTGAAGGTCTTTTTGTGTCTTCTTGAACCATTTTTACTTTTGAGTCATTTTGTAGAATTTAAAAATAAATGAATGAATTCTGAGAAGCGCGGAGAATTGTGATTTTAACCATCAGTGGGAGAACTTTGGCAGTTACTCAGAAATCCCAATTCAGTCTTCACTAGTCTTGCATCTTTTATACATGTCTCTGTCCCATAAATTTGGGAAGAATTTACCCATGGCCACACATCCAAAAGACATACTTGCATGTGAGAGTTATTTTCTTATTTTTTTCTATCAAGAGTTCCTCTACTAAATCCAAAAATTGCTTGATAAGCTTACCCTCAGCTTGAATACCATTTGGGGGAATGAGACAGGGTAGCTAGTAAAGAGCGTCTCCCTCATCTGCACTAGCAGAGCAGTAAGTGGACATGCCTGGTCTACAAATACAGAGGAACGGAGGGGCATTTTTCTTGGAGTGTCCTGCACCACTTCAGACGGCAGGTGGAGTGGGAATCACAGTTTTGAATGAAACAACCAAAGAACCTAAAGATCTCCCTGAAACCAGGAAACTGACATGGCAGGGGGTGGCTTGCTTAGAACTTGTCTCTTGAGATGTAAAAAGTTTTGTTTGCAGGGAGCTTTTTATGTGGGGAAACATTCAAAAATGACATTTCCTACCTTTAGTACGCAATAGTATTGTCATCTTTATTACCCCAGTTTGCTCCATGTATACACCAAGTCACAGTCTCTCAAAGCTATATGATGATGTTGCACAAGATTCAGAGATACATTTCAATGCTGTGGGAAGGAAGTCAGCAAATATGACTTATTAAATTTTGGCTTGCATCTGTATTTTGCGGATCTTCAGTCAGTGTTCTTGCTGCCAAAGAGAAGGTTGGATGCATAGATAAGAACAAACAGGCAAACAAAGATAGCAAAAAGGAGCAGGTATGTTATCAACAGAATATATAAGCAATTTACAATGACAATGTCCCGTGACGGCATCATCATACACTTTGTAGGGTAGAATACTTAGATAATGTTACTGGTGTCTTCACTCTACAAAACAAAAACAAAAAAAGAATGCATTTATTAATCTGTTGTGGAGAAGGAACAAAGAGAAGTTTGAGTTAGGAGGACAAAAATAGAAAGTTGAGTTTTGGAGTCTAAGCTAGTGGCAATTTTGTGGGGGTGTCCGCCTCTCTCTGGGGATCAAATATGAGGTAGTAGAGCTTTCTGTTGGGAGTTTTTAAACTGAGTGCCTCTATCAAAACTCAACTTGTATATTTGTAAATAAATTCAGATTACAAAATATCATAAGTGATTTTCTCAACAAAATCAAGCACAGGCAAGTGTGGCAATTCTGAACTTCTCACTCACAACAGAAGTCAGAGCAAATGTACAATAACCTCACATCACAAAAGTTTTTCATTTAAACATATGGTATTAAGCCTACCAAATTCATTTATTCAAAAGCAAAAACATTTTCATCCTTTTCCTCCTTCCCTAACAAATGATAGTTTTCCTGTTATACATAGAATCAGAATGGCAGAGCAGGACGGGACCACGAGGGTCATCTAGTCCAACCCCCTGCACTGCAGGAATCTTGCCCAATGTGGGGCTCGAACCCACAACCCTGAGATTAAGAGTTTCATGCTCTACTTTTTAGTAAATAGTTGGTATTTCTTCATGTATGTTAGTAGGTTTCCTTTCAATTAAAAAAACTGGTTCCAGAATTAAAACATACACTTACTCTATAATTTGTGGCACAATTGTATGCATATTTGGCTTCTTTCAAAAGCTAGAACACCTATTTGAGCATATTTTCACAGGAGTAATAGAAAATACTCTCCTGAACTACAAGTGGTAAATTAAAATGTGGAATCACCTGAAATATAGAACTTCTGAATCTGCCTTTTACTGGGTGGTGCCATTTGGCTGCAGTTCTCCCAAGGTCTTTCCTAGCTCTGCTACCCAAAATAATCCTTTGAACTGGAGATGTTTTGAATCAAACCTGACATATTTTGCATGTGAGGTATGTGTTATAGTACTGAGCCCAATTGGCCATTTTAAAAAAAATGAATTTTTTTATCAGTGCCTCAGCATTGTGACTTACCTTATGCTGTTCACTGGAAAAATTCCGTAATCACCTATGATTTTATTTCAGATCTGAAGCCAGTAGCTGGTAGATACTACCATCTCTTTTTCTTCTGTAACTAAACAGATGAAGCTGGAATCAGTGACAGATGTATAAGCCTCACTATTTCACATCCCTTTCATGCTTAGGAGCCTCATTTACCAAGAGAAAATAAGATTAGTGACTCAGTTCAGAATCCTCCTTTTGTATTAACACTTTGAAAAGGAGGCAAGATGAACTACTTGCCGTTAATTTTTACAGGAGTCCATTATTCTTTCATTCATTGATGTCTCCTCCATGCATTGATAGGGAGATACAGTTGTTTGGAACAGGGGTGTGAAACCTGCGCCTCTCCAGATTGTCATTGGGCTACAACTCCCATCATCCCTGACCATTGGGCTGGCTGGGACTTCTGGGAAGTGGACATACAACAACAACAACAATAACAACAACAACAGGAGAGCCACAGGTTCTCTACCCCAACTTTGGAAGCACTGAAAAATGTCAGAAGCTGAAATCCATGCTTTCCTAATGGAGTGGCACACATTGCTGGCATCTGTCAGTCTTGGGGTGTGCCTCTGGGGGTGAAGTCAAGCTGTTGTGTTAGCAGCACTGAAGTGCCCTCCCTAGGGCGCAAGCCTGGGCAGTGTGTAAGGAGGTCCTGGGCTGCAAGACCTCATGGCCTCACTGAAGTGGTCCAAAGGAAAGCAGAGCAAGATGTTTGGCACCAGCTGGGCTGCAGGAGTTGCTGGAAGGAGGCGTACAAGGCACCATCCAACCATCTTGAGGACTCAACTCCAGATTTGTGTAGAGTTTAATCCTTAGCCTTCTCTACTCCCGAAGATATTCCTCAAGGCAGCAGAGATTTAGGATGATAGTTTTCCTTCTAGATGGGCTACCTTCTCAGGTGGATGAGTGTCATCTGCCTCTCACTTCCCTCTACAGCACATGCAGAAACTGCCTTCTTGACTCTTGGACCCACTATTGGTCCCATCTGCTCAATCCCCTGGAGGTGTCTTCACATGCAGGGCAAGTCCCTAACTCACCGAGGGTTTGAGACCCATCGGCTACCCTCACCTGGTTTAGTTGGCCAGCCAAAGCCATTTGTGGGCTGTGACCGCTGTCGCATGCTGACAGCTTCTAGGAGCCACAGGTGAGAGCCGACTGCAGGGTGGGGACAAAAGGTGGACAAACTACCCCAGAAGGAACAGCACGTATCCACCACCAGGACTACTACCCCTCCCTTAATACCCCATAGACCCCAGAGGCATATATATATATAAAAAACCACACAAATCCAGAGGTTTGAAACATCATGGCTTGAAAGCTCTGTTAAAGAAAAAAAAAAGTCAACCACTCTTAAGTGTAGGAATCTGCACATTGTGATCTAGACAACACTACACAGTGTAGCATGAAATAATGCAAGTGAATAATAGGCTTGAGAAATCTATTTCCTGTGCCTTATTAGTAATCCAGCCTTTTCACAAAAGGCACCGCAAAAATCCTTCCATATAAAAAAACACAAGAAAATAAGCAGTCTTACATTGTCAGTTTGTAACCCTTTAAAAAATGGCACATCACAAAATTCTGGGCTGATTCACTACCCTTTTTTCCTAGCTTTATCTGCGCTCGGACAGGAAAAGAATGCTTACAAGCAGCTCTGTTTTAGTAACAAAGCAAGGTCTAATTTGATTACCCCATTCTTCTGGGATACGAAAATGCAAAAGAGGATTAAACATGTTTTAATCAGCTGGGGAGGGGGGGGGGGACCTTTTTCAGCTTGGCCGCATTTCCTAATAGGCAACTTTGAGAGAACAGGGTTACAGCCAAAAGCAGGCGGCGCAACAGATGTGGCTTACTTTTCCATCGTAGGCCACATTCCAGAAACATAAAAGCCAGAAGTTTCCACACACCTTTCTCCGCCATCCAGGCAAGAAAGAGGCATTATTATCTGAGTTCAGGAACACATTCCAGCCAGGAAGAGGTACTTGGGAAGAGCCTGGAGTCTGGTCTGGTGAAGGATGTGACCTGTGGAGCAGGTAGTGTGGCCTGGGAAGGGTGCTGAGGGCCAAAAAGGCCTGGAGGGCCACATTTGGCCTGGGGGCTAGAGATTCCCCACCCTCGCTTTATGCATGAACATAAAATACTTCAGTTACCTAGGGCCATACTCAGATTCTTCTTCACAAAGGGCGGCAAATATGTTCCAGCAGCCTTGGGGGTTTTTCAACGCAAAGCCCATTTCCCAACTCCTGTATGCAGCAAATGTCTGGCATAATGGGGACCTGCCAAAGCTAGATGGCTTTCAGGCAAAAATTTTACGATCTCTGCTGCAGGTACCTAACTGCATCCCCAACTCTGTACTTCTGTTAGAAGCTGGGGAATGCCCAATTTCAACTAAAGCGTGGTGGGCTGCCCTAAAACATTGGCTCAGGATTTCAGTGTTTAATCTAGGAAAGGGTTTGTACCAACACCTGACCAATGAGGAATTTGTCAGAAAATGGCAGAAAACCATGGCTAAAAAAGCCACCTCTATTGGTCTGTCTCCCCCCCCCCCCAACTGTATTATCTGAGTTATGAAGGCGCCCAAAAGATTTTAAAGCAAAGATTATGGGACAATGTACACAATGACTTGTGATCTCGATCACACGCAGTCTGTAGTCTGCTGGCAGTAGGAGTTCAATATGGGTATGTCTTTAAGTTAACATCTTACATCAAAAACCTGACAGTACCTAACTACCGAAGGCTTTTCACCAAAGCCAGACTAAACGTCTTTCCCTCTGCAGTGTTGGATGGTAGGTTGAGAGGAGTTCCCTACCAGGACAGACTTTGCTCGTGTGCTCAAGACATCGATTCCATAAATCATATTTTGTTGCATTTTGCAAAATATGAGCAGGCCAGGGCTGAACTGATACTACCTTTGCTGGTACCTTTCCTGGGGAAATCAGAGGCTCACTATGTCAGGTTCCTACTGGACAAATGCTAGAACGTTAGCAGTGGCAAAGTTTTTATCAGTGGTTGCAAGAACAAATGAGCCCTATATTCTAAACAAAATGCTTGATTAACCTGGAGGTAGGCTGTATGAATTGTGCATTGATTTGTAATGATTTGTTGGGTCTCTGGACCGTAATATAGATTGATTGATTGATTGATTGATTGATTATGCATGAACATAGGGCCAAAAGGGAAGTTTTGAGGGAAATAGGTTTCCCAACATCATGTTTTCCTTGTAATACTAATATGGGACAGAAGCCAGGGAGATTTGCAGTGGAGACTCAGGGAAAAGATGGGTTGGGGGGAACTGTAGCCTTTCCCTCACCCATTTTCTATAAAAAAAAGCAGTCAAAACATCATTTCCAGAGAAGCAAGGGAGGCTAAGCACTTGTGTCTCCCTACCTTTCCCACCACCATCACATTCCCAGTTATCTTGGGAAGCATGGGGATGGGACTGTATCATTGTTAAATCTGGCCCAAAGAAGATCCCTTTCTGTGAGTTGCTTGCCAGGGCACTAAAAGGAATGGTGGTAAGTAAGTACAGGTTAAGCAATACTGGTTGTACTTTCCATACATTGAGAGTTTGACCATATAGGATGACTGTCTCTCCATAAATACAATTTAAAGCCTAATCCAATGAGTTCTAACACAGGAGTTGAAGTCACAGAAAGCATAGTGACATACAGACACATATTTGTGCTGCTTCACATTCTGGGTTCATTTTTTGGGGGTGGGGATAACCTCCTTATGTGGTAGAAATGTAATAATTAGTAATGTAGCCTTTTCACTATCTTTTGAATCCCCAAATATCTACCTGTGTTCTTCTTGCTTCTACGTGGAATAACATTTGACCTTTTAAGTTTGTAAGTAAGGCATTTTAATTTTCTAAATGGTGTGGTCTGTTCATCGCAAGAGGGGAAGAGACAGGAAGCACTGTAAGTGGCTAGAGCATAATATTTAAAAGGTCTAACAGTCCATTACTCCCATTATTCTGTGATTTTTAACTGATATGGTCTCTCTCTTGCTAGAGAGTATGTTTAGCCCCATGTTTTAGATCTAGGGATCCAGCCAATTAAGTAATTGATTGATTACCTCACATGAGTGATCTATCTTTATCATTGGATCATTGGCTAGCATTGCCAGTGGCAATGGAGGCACTGGGGAAGCCCAGAGTG